TTATAGCCTTGGGAAGGCCCCAATTAAAACAGTTGTCTGGTGTGGTTCTGTGTGTGTGACCTTTTAAAAGACAAACTGACATTCTGAAATATGATGAACAGTAATAAAGTTTGTGGATTAAAGTTCCCCCCCAGATGATCTGAGGAGGCTATTTTATGTATTTTCTATACTTTCAGTATTTCTGGCTGCAATGGATCTGGAAATATCATCTGCCTCTAGAACTTGCACTTTCTTGCCATCTTTTTCCACACATCTGACATCAAGTATCAGCCCTGTTACTAGCAAAGCAGAGTCTTCAGGGAAATGGAATGGTCTACATTCTCCCATCAGTTTAAAGTCAAGACTTAACCTGAGTATAGAAGTCCCATCACCTTCCCAGGTATATTTCTATAATTCTACATATGATATATATGCAAATGTAGTTTTACAGTGGGAATGGTGTATTTCTTTATCAGTAGGGGAGAAAGGGTGACTTTTTAGGGTGACTGACACTAAATTCCAAGTAAGAAATGACCAGTTGAAGTGAAAGATTTGTGCTTCTGCAGAGATTTGCAGCGCTTTTAAATTGTAAAACGTGGATGAAAGCCAGTTCCTTAAACTGCCACTTGTCACAGCCTCTGTACCTCTTTATGACAGTGGTGGTCACAGAGCTTTGCTGATTAGAGGCCTGTGACAAAGGTTTTTTGCGCAGTAGGTGCATACAAAGTGGAGTGAATGACTTTCCTAACATGAACTACTCCTTTCAGCTGGGGTGGGCTGTCAGTGTGGCGTGGTGCTGGAATTTTTACCCCTTGGGGGATTGTAGGAGAACACTTTGAGCCAGATTGGAAGTCTATTTCTCTGCCGCACGAAGTAGCAGAAGGCTGAAGGGTATGTGCGTGCTAGCTGTAGAGTAGGGAAACAGGGCAGTTGTGATGTGTGTGCATTGGGTCCCACTTGCCGCTGAGTTATCCAGGAGTTGCACCTGTCACGGTGAGATTGGCCTGCCGGGCTTCCTAAGGGATGTGCGCTGGTGGGCACTGGGGGGACCTGGCCAAAGGAGCAGGGAAGTCAGGTATACAGCTAGAGAAGTTAGCTTCTAGAAATCTTCTAACTGGCTGCTGTCAGCCTAGAATTGTTTGGGGGCATATAGTTTCCTATCTGAAAGGCAGACTTGGGGCTTAGAAATTTGACATACCCATATTTTTGGACTATAATTTAACCACATTTTTTGCTTCAAAAATTTTCTATTTTCCTCCTCTAAAACCTAGGCGCGTCTTACAGTGCAGACCCCAAACGCACCTAGGTTTTAGAGGAAAATGGAAAAAATTTTGAAGCAAAAAATGTAAAACAAAGTGTTTTATAGTTCGAAAAATACAGTACATGCCATAGGCGTTGGCCCCTGCCCTTGGGTGGGGTCTGAGATTTGAGTTTGACAGAGGCTCTTTCTGTGTGGGAGATTCAGGGACTGACCCAGTGCAGTGGGACTGGCCAGTGTGTACACTTCTCATCTCTGGAATCCACGGAATCCACACATTACTACTTATGCTCCAATGGCAAAAGCTGGGGCGGGGGGGAGGCAGGGGCGGGGTGGCTTTCCTGGCCTGGTTCTCTGTATCTGCACCTTGTGTTCATTACCCAGTATGTTAACACTGAAATGAAAGGGAAACATTAATTCTCCAAAAAATCATCTCTGAGCGTGGCATAACTGCACACCCTATGTATGGTATTTTATAGCTCGACCAGTCCGTTTTAGAAGCACTTCCACCTGATCTCCGGGAACAAGTAGAGCAAGTTTGTGCTGTTCAGCAAGGAGAGCTGCACGGTGACAAAAAGAAAGAACCAGTAAATGGCTGTAATACAGGAATTTTGCCACAGCCAGTTGGAACAGTTTTGTTACAAATACCAGAACCTCAAGAATCTAACAGTGACATGGGAATTAATGTAATAGCCCTTCCAGCATTTTCACAGGTAAGTTCAATTTAGGGGTCTTCTATCATAGCTTAAATAGTCTCACCCTACTTACCTCTCCTACTGCAGCTCAGGGCATGTCTTACTTCCCATATTCCTTTGCGCCCAAACCCTCATTAGTCTGTACCATATCTGTTGAGGCAGGAGAGGCTGGCTCATTTCCTCATCTGCAGGACAGACCGACAAAGCAGCTTTGCTGAAGCAACTGAGGGCAGAGAAGAGGGAGTCTTTGGTATCTGGATGCTCACGGCTTGTTCCCCCATTCACTGACCAGGGGCCACTTGGCCATACTTAAGTGACAGGCTGGGGATGCATAATCACACTATGGACAGTAACACAATCTAATGTTTCAAAAAACATTACATATGAGCCTGTTTTCTTGTGTTCTGCTTCTCATTTTTGTGCTTTTTGCCTTAGTGTTTTTTTAATTGCAGTTCATACTCAGAATTCCTTACATACAGATCAGAATTTAATTCTTTACATTCATACAGATCAGAAAAGTATTATTTCAGAAAATCTTTTTTGTGAAAAATGTAAACCAGCAATCAACTTAGGTTTGACTTTGAAACTTCTCTTTTCCACTAGGTGGACCCAGAGGTGTTTGCTGCCCTTCCTGCTGAGCTTCAAAAGGAGCTGAGAGCAGCGTATGATCAAAGACAGAGGCAGGGAGAGAACACTGCACACCAGCAGCCACCCAGCACAGCCTGTAAGCCTGTAAAGTAACGATTAACAAAATGAACATGAGACAGATGGAGGCATTGTGTATGATTATTGTATTTAATGGCCAAAAGCTAAGGTCTTAGTCATGTTAAGAGCTCTTCATATTGGGGGAATAGAAAAGTATACAACATAAGAGTTATAGTCCTAGTTAGAGTTGTATCTGTTAACTGCTTGACTGACTGAAAAACACCATTCTTAACTTTTTTTAAAAAGCCCTTAAAAATAAGCTTGAATATACTACTTCCAGAAATCTTTTTGAACACTTGCCAGGCCCATTGTCATTCTTTGAAATTGATACTTCAAGGGATGAAGTTTTAAAAGACAAAAGTGGAAGGTTTCTGACCATGGATCACAAATACTGTATTTACTATAAAAACAGGGTAGGGCCTGATGAGTTATTTGTACTTCACCTTCTGAGGTTTCATTTAATCATGTGAGCACCCCATTATAGGTCAGCAGTGTTCCAAAGGAAACGCAAGGAAGTGGCAGAGATGAATTGCAGGGCCTGCACTCTCGGCCATTGTCCGACAAGAGGCCTTGCTGGGATGTGTGCAGGGGTGGATTTGTGGGTATTAGTGAGACCCATCCTACTGTCCAAATACATTGGTTGAGGATCTTGTGTTCATTATCTTTTAGTGCCAAAGAATCCATTACTTCAGCTAAAACCATCAGCAGTAAAAGAAAAGAAACGAAACAAGAAAAAAAATCCCATCAGTCCCCAAAAAAAGATCCAGAGCCCTCTGAAAAACAAACTACTTAATAGTCCTGCAAAAACCATGCCAGGGGCCTGTGGGAGTCCCCAGAAGTTAATTGATGGGTTTCTGAAACATGAAGATTCTGCTCCTGAAAAACCTCTGGTAATGTTTTAATGCTTTTTAAACTTGGGCATTTTATTGAATCTAAATGTAGTTGATGTTAAATATAGCACTTGTTATCATTTGTTTTCTTAACAGGGAGAACTCTCTGCTTCTACTTCAGGTGTGCCAGGCCTTTCTGGCTGTGTCAGACCCCCGGTACCCAACCTGGCGGGAGCTGTCGAGTTCAGTGATGTGAAGACACTGCTCAGAGAGTGGATAACGACCATTTCAGGTTGGCTTGGGTGGGGCAGATAGCCAGGCGAAAACCAGATGTGTAATGAACAGTCCTATGATTTCAAAACATGAACAAGCTTGACTATATAGATGGAGCTCATTTTCCTAAATCTAGCAAGCTTAAACTGGCCAACCCTTAACCTTTGAGACTGGCTGTGGAAAGATCCTTCATAGCCTGTTGTGTTGTGGAAACAAACAGATGGGCCGGTTCTTATTTGAGGTTTTTCCTCTCTTTAGATCCAATGGAAGAAGACATTTTGCAAGTTGTGAAATACTGCACGGACCTAATAGAGGAGAAAGATTTGGAAAAACTGGATCTTGTTATAAAATACATGAAAAGGTAATTAGTACTTTTAGCAAAAGGGAAAAATGGCATGTCACAAGGGCTAGCTGAGGAAGGTGAGGCTCTCAGTTTCTGACAGTTGCCTTACCTGTACTCTTTAGGGTTAATGAAGAAGGGGTGCCCTATATTTTGAGTCCCAGAGAAAGGAATGTCATAAATAGACTGGGTAAAATGAAGAGGGTCAAAATCAGCTTCTTCCCCTCAACCCTTAAATTCTAAAGAGACTATACTGATTCTTGGAAAAGGAATTATTGGTCTTTCCTGATGTTTGTTTCTCCACCTTTTAGGTTGATGCAGCAGTCTGTGGAATCAGTTTGGAATATGGCATTTGACTTTATTCTTGACAATGTTCAGGTAGTTTTACAACAGACTTATGGGAGCACATTAAAAGTGACATAAATGAGCAGGAGCCTAGTGTTCTCCGCTGGCTGTGCCATAAGTGCTTGTGAGGTATTTGCAAAGTGCATGATAGTAATGCTCTGAGTTTTTATAATTTTAAATTTCTTTTTGAGCAAGTGTTTTGTACATTTCTTTTCAATAAGTGCCAAATTTGTCAGTATTGCATGTAAATAATTGTGTTAATTCTTTTATTGTAGTATAGATTCTATTTACAAAATGTTTGTTTATAAAGTTTTATGGATTTTTACAGTGAAGTGTTTACAGTTGTTTAATAAAGAACTGTATGTATATTTTGTATAGGTTCCTTTTTGTGAATCCTTTAGGAAATGAATCTTGAACTGTTTATACTACAGGCTGAAAACCTCAAGCCCAACTTAGAGACTTGGTGCTAAATAAGTTTTGTAATTTCTGAGAGGTTCCAGAGTGGGTTCCATTTCTAACAAAAAGGATAATAAATCTTAACAATTTTTTCATATCCCCAAGCATGAACACAGGAGCATGTTAAGAAAATCTTTACTTCTTCCAAGTGGAGGAATTTACATACTTTGAATTGGAACATACACAATTAAAGATCAAATTTTTCCTGGGAAAATTATGTCCCCACAGGTGGTTTAGAGGTGTTTTTTTCTTTGCCTCTACTGCCCTTGAGAAACTTCAATAATGAATGGTACAGATTTCCAAATTATGTATATAAAGTATTTTTGTTGTGTGTTATGCCATACACTTTAAAAATATAACTCTACAGCAGTACTTGGAAACATTAATCTTTAAACACCCCACACTGACTTCATTCAACACTGCTATAAATAGGTAGTAAGATCTTTGAGATCTATTATAAGAATTAATCTCACACTAAAAGATTTCTTACATTGGGGAAAGGAGTATATCCTCATGTGGACCCACTTTCCACATTTTTTAGGAAAACCATAAAACTAGCTATATAATCCCATTACTAATGTGAATTAGTAATTCATTATGACATCTCTGCAACAATTTAGAAGCACTAAGCCCAAATAGTTATCAATGCCCTGTTGATTGTCTCATCAGAAAATGTATGCATGATAGATTTTCTAGGCCAAAATTGATGTATACAATTTCTAGTGTTAACATGTGCTGGTACACAAGGTAGGACAGTTAACAGCTCCTGTCCTTAAAAGAAAGAGCTGGTGACTTATGGGAGAGAAGCTACTCTAACATGGAAGCCTAAAAGCTCTCTGGTGAATGTGTTTTCTTTATTGGTATCAGAACTGTGCATTGATTACAGTGGACTCTCATGACTAGACAAGCAGTAAACCGCAGCCAGCTACACTTTTACACCATGGATTTCACACCAAGCAGATAAATACCAGAATGCCTACTTTTCTATTTTAAAAAATTCCTAAGGACACATGGCAGAATAATGCTGCAAAAAAAATGACTGTGGGAAGGAGATGCATAAATAAAGTGTTTCTCACATCAAAAAAGTCAAGAATCACAAAATCTGCAGAAGCTTGGTTAATCAAATACTGCAGTACTGATTTAATCAGTATAAAATCGGAAGAGCTTTAGATCTGTAATAAAAATCCAAATTCGGGGAAGGGCAGACTTTAAAACAGCAGCCAGTAAAGAGAGGTTGGGAAGGAGCGGGCAAGTGGACAGGCACATTGGAACTGTGGGGACATGTATTCGACCACTGTCAAACCAGTGTAAGTTTCTTGGTTTCTCATGGAAAACATTTTATACATCTATTTTTTTCCTTCCATTCTTAAGTGCATCAGTGTCCATATATGTCCATTCCATTTTTTAATCTTGTTTTTTCTTGCACTACTCCAATTCTTGCCCCATGTGGAAAAACTAGATGATTTCAAAGACTTTCTTCAGCTCCACAATAAGCTGCCAGTCGCTCTTCTGCATCTCGTCTCTGAACCAGTCTTTGAGAGCGTCGATGGACTGCCTGCTGATCTGCAGGGGTGAGGCACAAACAGGGCAGATGGAACAGAGTGTAACCAAGTGCCAGAAAAGCAGGTGGACCCACAGTCTGTCACCAAATGTTGATCATCACAGAGAATGCAAGGCAGTGCTGCTGTCCTTTGACCAAAGCTTCTGGACAAGTACAGCAGAAGGAGACCTAGAGGTCCTGGCAGGCGCTGGCTGTGAGGAGCACCTACCACTCTATAGATCAAGCTTGATGAAGAACCCAGTCCTATCAGAAATACTAAGTGAACGTAATGAGCACAGCCGACACCCCCTTTATTCAAAGGTGCCACTCTTGGTGGACAGACTTACCTTACTGACGAGAATGTCTGTAGCTTCAAAATGTCTTCCATACATTTTGGGAGATTCACCAGGGATAGGTTCTATTTTGACACAGACTTCTTGTCCCTTTTTTGCAACATCCACTTGTTTATGGTTTATTTCAATACTTGTTACTATTCCAATGTCAACAAACTGTAAAAATAAGAACCACAATGTAAGCAGAGGAGGAATCCTGCCAGCCACAGGCTCCCTAGAGCTGGAGAGTTGAGGAAAAAATGGTTTGTGAGCAGAAGAGCCAGTTTCAGAGCCTTAGCTCTCTGTGAGCCTCCACGACCACTTTGTCTCCACAGTGGAATTTCCTCACTGTACACTAGGGATGACACCACCACATGTTCTCTCTGCCTTGTATGAGATGGCTATTCAGGGGGTGCTTTGGGAAAGTAAGTGCTTTCAATCCAATGTAGTTTTCTATTTCTGTTCCACCCTTCACATGACAGGTGCCATAAAAAACAGCAGGCACACATGTTCTGAATCAAGAATGAGCTGGGAGTGGTTGGTGTGGTGAGGAAGAGGGTGAGGAACAGGGGATGAAGAAACAGAGGCAGTCAAGGCCTTGTAGGTCCTGGTAAGAGCTTTGCATTTAATTCTGAGTATGAGACTTATGGGCAGCCTATTTGCAGTTATAGTTTGGGGCTGGAGGAGCGCCCTTTGCAGTTGCCTTGGGAAGAGATACAAGAGAGAGAGAGTGAAAAAGAGTTTGACCCAAGTCATACAGGAGATAATTACTGCAAGTAAATGCCCTAGCTCAGTCGACTGAAATGGTATAGGAACAATGACTTTTGATTTCCACTGAAGGAATCAGGTCTGGGGCGGGAAAAGTACTAGGGGCACCTCACTGCACTGGAAAGGAACTCATTCCAAGTGCATGTGGCTCCCACTGACCAAACTGGGTAGTTCAGCTATCATAAAGTATTGGTAATTACATCACATTTTAAAAAACCAAACTGAGTATACAGATACTTAATGAAAAGGTCAGGGGGACAAAGGTAATAAGCTTGTGGGATAAAGGTTGATAAACAGGAGATTCATAGGGACTCAAAGAATCCCCTAGATTACTTAGTAACACAAAGGGGAAAGAATGGTCTCTAACAGAGATGCAGAGCTGACAGCACACCTTTCCCATAAATCAAAGCATCACTGACAACTACATGGCCTGTGTGAAATGCATGAGGCACACAGGAGCTCTTCTACTTAGCCATGAAGAAATAAATACCTGTGAAACAATGGTCTGGACTCTTCAAAAAAGGATGGCACTGTTCCTGGTTGAGACCAAAAGACATCATAGCCAAAGGCAGTGCAACTGGAAGGGATTCTGGTCAGCAGGGATTCCATCTGGATGACCTGGTTGACCAGGTCAGCAGGTGAAATTATTAAAGACACTTTTGGGACAGTTTTTGAAATGTGCATGGGGACTGTAAAATGCTATTTTCATTAACTGAAGGACTGGTATCAGGTGCTATAATAATCACGACTAATTAAGGAATGCTGACATTTAGCAAGACTGAGGTATAAATTACCTAAGGCAACAGACAAGCTCTTCTTGGGTTTTTTTTCTTTTTTGCTTTAAGAGAAAGCACATTGTTTTCAAAGTACAACTGGCACTTACATTTTTGCTAGGGACGCACATGGGGGTCCCTTGTTTCACCTGACCTGCTTCCACAGTCACACCAATTACTATTGGGTCTCGAGAATTGAAAATATACTGTGGGAGGATTTTCATCTTGCAGGGAAATACTGCTATGTGCCTAAAAGGGAAAAAACAAACAAGAATAAACAAACTTACGAAATCACTTAAACTAAAAAAACAAGCACAGGTGAATATGAAGCTTCTTCCAACAGGTTTTTAGTTGTATAGCTTATCTCAGCAGTCCCACTGCACTTGCCCGCAGTGGTGGGTGCTATAGGCCATGCAGTCTCTCATCCTCTCCCCTCCCCGTCCATTTGGGTGCACTCCAAGTCTCACAGAGGCTGCATCGCAGGAGCATTTGGTGCCCAGACTGAAGGGCTTGAGCCCTGGAGCTTAGGAACTTAGAACCTCGGTGGGACCAACTTTCAGGTGTTGGCACATGCCACGTGGTCATCCATTCTGGGGACCACACAGGCATCGAACCACATCCTTCTTTTCTCAACCATGTTGCCAAATGAGTTGATCCAAAAGCCCACTATTTCCCTGCTTATCAATCATATGGTTAAAGTGTTTTCATAGCTTCTAGCAGTCTTGTAAATAAAATTTAAGTATTCTCATTTAAGGTTTCACAATCTTAAAGTAAGCATGCCTCAATCTAAACCCTAAAATTTAGCAGTCAGTTACTCTTTAGAATATACCCCAGATTGAGCCACCACCACTATGGTTACTCTGCATGGAGCCATCACTGTGTCAGGCCTGAACTATGGGAAACCCCTGACATTCCCTCATCACTGACCAGAATCCTTCCCAAGGCTACTGGGTCCTGACTGAGTCCTCTCCTACCACTGTTCCCCAAGGGTCACTGAATGAGGACTGCCTCCCAGGGCTGTCCTGCCTTGACACTCGCATGTCTGGGTGGTGGCTCACTTTGTTCCCTTCACATCTCAGTGATGAGTTGCCTCCCCAAATCACACCACTAACTACAGCTCTGCTCTCCTCTCCTCATCCAGGTCCATCCTTGCTTTGTATCACTTAACCCCACTTCTCATGTGTTCACTGTTGGTCTCCCCTGAACTCCAAGAGGAGACATGGTCATGATCATGGCTGAATCCTCTAGCACCTATGAGTGCCACTTACACTGGGCACTATGAAATCTGCAGCAGGAATGAGCTTTAATCCCATGGAATGCCTTGCCTTGTTTCATTTCCTAGATTCCCACACTCTTAATTCTGTTACCTCCAAACTCCCCCAAAGTAGCAACTACTCACCTATGAATGAGACCTAGTTCTGCCAAACTGAAAATGAAAAACAGAACCGGAAAGGCCACAATGAATTTGTCCCCACACTGCTGGAAGGTCTCAGGTGGACAAGACCTGGAACACACCAGCTCAGGGAACTACCTCTGACAGATGAGCACACTGCACGCTTCTGCTGTCTACACACCTGTCTGGTATTTTGTAATTCTCCAATTATCAACTTCACTGTCAAAGACCCAAAGTAAATAAAATCACCGACTTACTTAAATTCTTCTTGTTTCTGTTTCTTGTAATCTTGTCTGTACTTTGTAAAGGCATCAAATAAATGATAAATAATTTCTGCACTAAAAATTCTAACTCCTAAACTATCAGCCATTTCTTGTGCATCCCGTTCGATTCTCACATCAAAGGCCAAAATGACTGCATACCTGAAAAGTCAGAACACACCAAAGATCATCAATGAAAAACAGTACATCATGAAGGAGAGTTAAAATAGGTAGCTATATGAAAGCTTTCATAGCAGGAGAGAGATCACTTACTGAGGATCATGTTCCAGCATCACTGAAGCCTTCATGACGTCCTTTTTATGGACTGGACCGATGTTAATTCCTGCATACTGTAAACAGGGAGTTTGTGAGAACAGCCACCTGAGTCAGGTGACAGAAGTGGCCCCACAAACCATGACAACCACTGACTATAGAGTTGGGTTTGGTTACTTACGGGCACTTCTGACGTTCTTAGGAATTCCAACAGAGCTTCCAAAGAGCCCAGAGTAGACGCCTGGACATAGACTCCTTTTTCTTCTAATTTGATAGCATTTAGTGTCTGCTTTAACTCATGAATTAATTCATCCTTAAAAAGAGATTGTATTTGACATGGTTATACATAAATACAACTCTCATCAGCAGCCTAGAGTTAAACTGTTTCTCTTTTTCGTTAAGTATTCATATGAAATATAAAACCAAGGCTTATTACAAAGAGCAAAGCACAGCAGAACCTGAGCTCAAGAGGAGAGGATTTGGGGGTCATTTTTGATCTGTCCTATTTTACCTTTGTCTGAAGTTTACTAACACTGACATACATTTAACCTCTCTGCTCCACTTGGCAAATAAGGTAGATAGGTGAGTGGAATGAAATAATTTTTTAAAAGTTAAAAGTGAGACATAAATGTGATGTGTTTGGCCCTAACAGTTCTGCTTGATGGTCTTAAACTTGAAATACCCTAATCTCAGCAGCCTCTTCCTCCGTCACTGCTTCTCTGAAGACGAAGAGACTGAGTAAGTAAAGCAAACATGGTGATCCCAGTAAGTTGCAGGTGTCCACGCCACATCTGGGACTGACCAAAGCGGGGCACCTGCCCTGTTTTCACTGGCCCTACGTGTCTGATTCCCTGTCCTGGGACCTGGTGCTCCCTGAAGAATGACTGGCTGTCCCAGCACACTAGATGAGCCATGGGCTCAGAACAGTGGATCTTCTCTATGGCTCAAAATCTGCTTTTGTAAAACTGCTGGACTCGTGAGCCATCTGCTCCTCCAGACAGACACAGAGGCTTTAAAATGACTCCCAGTACCTAGTTCTGCCTACACACTCAGGTATCTAAAGTAAAACATAATTTCTAGATTTTTACTTAAATAGAATATGTATTTTAGAATTGTATTATACATAAGTAATACTTATGCCAATTCATGTGATTATACAAACTGGAGTAATTTTAATAGCATAAACTGTTTACTAAGAGGCAACCAGACAAGGCTTCACAAGACAAGGCTCCCATTTTCTTCATCACTCCTAGCATGTGCCACACCAACACACTACGGAATTCAAGTAGCTATAGAGGAAATACAACTTACTTTAAGCACTGGAATTTCATCTTCCTTATAAGCTACCAGGAGGGGTAAACCAGCCAATGTTTTCTCCAGGTCTTTTCCAAGAATCTTTACCCCCTGAGCTGCTTCTACTTCTTTATGCTTTTCATACTGGTTCTAGGGAGAGCAAAACATTTGTTACCACATTTACCTGAGAAGTGGTAAGCACTAGATGATGTAAGAGAGTATATGTTCATGACCTTGGGGTAAAGATTTCTTAAACTTGACTCAAAAAGCAATAAACACAAAATAAAAGTATGATAAAACCAGCATTAAAATTAAGTACTTCTGAATAATGAACTTAAAGCCAAGATGGAAGCATACATAGATACACTTCACCTCCTCACACAACCAAAAGGAGTTAACAACCAATCTAAAAACAAAAACCAACCACAACTGCTGGGAAATCGAATTGTATGAAAGTCTGACAAACAAGGAGTTAAGAAACATTCATCCAGACTAGGAGGAGGGGCAGAGGTGGGCAGCCAGGGGGAAAAGAACTCGTGGGGAGCCAGCAGCTGGTGGACCTAGCAGACCTACATTGGTGTGCGGATAAAACCGGGAGGAACAAATGGGGAGGGGAGTGGGCAATCCCAGGCCAAGACAGACCATGCATCCCAGAGTTCCAGCTCCAGGTAAATAAAGCCTCATAACCTCTGGCTGTAAAATTCTGTGGGGGTGGGGGGATGGGTTTGTGGCAGCGGAAGAAACTGCCACACTCTCTCAGGGGAGTCCGTTGGAGGGGCCCACAGGGTCCTAGAACATACACAAGCTCACCCACCCAGGAATCAGCACCAGGGCAGCAACTGTAAGGGCACCAGTCACTTTCAGGAAAAGGAGGAAGAGACTGAAAGTGGGGTGAGAGCCAAGCAAGCAGCATTGTTTCCTCTCTGACCCATCCTCCTAACCTCTAACTATAAAAACCTGTGAAAGTTGTAGCAGTGGAAGAAGCTGCTGGTCTCTCAGGAGAGTCCATGTGAGAGGTCCATGGGGTCCTAGAATGTACACAAGCCCACCCACTCCAAGAATGGGCACCAGGGAGGCAATTGGAAGGGCATCAGTCACTGGCGAAAAGTGGAGAGAGTGACTGTGATTAGGGTGAAATCCATGCAAGTGGCACTGTTCCTTCTCTGACCCCTCCCCCACATACAGCTGCCACAACATAGCATGACCCACCCAGGTGGATACCTAAGGCCCCACCCCTTACAATTTAACAGCTGCACTGACAAACTGAGGAGACAAATATGGCCCAAATGAAAGAACAGAGCAAAACTCCAGAGAAAACTAAGAGGCGAGGAGATAGACAACCTATCAGATGCAGAGTTTAAAACACTGGTAATCAGGATGCTCACAGAAATGGCTGAGTATAGACACAAAATAGAGGAAAAAGTGAAGGCTATGAAAAATGAAATAAAGGACAATGTACAGGTACCCAACAGTGAAGGGAAGGAAGATGGCACTCAAATCATCAATTTGGAACAAAAGGAAGAAATAAACATTCAACTGGAACAGAAAAAAGAAACAAGAATTCAAAAAAATGAGGCGAGGCTTGGGAACCACTGGGACGACTTTAAATGTGCCAATTCCGAATCATAGGGGTGCTAGAAGGAGAAAAGGAAGAGCAAGAAATTGAAAGCTTACTTGAAAAAATAATGAAAGAAAACTTTCATTATTTACCTAATTTGGCAAAGGAAATAGACATACAGCCCAGGAAGTTCAGAGTCCCAAACAAGTTGGACCCAAAGAGGGCCACATCAAGACACACCATAATTAAAACGACAACAGTTAAAGATAGAATCTTAAAAGCAGCAAAAGAAAAGCAGAGAGTTATCTACAAAGACAATCAGCTGATTTCTCAAAAGATGCCTTACAGGCAAGAAAGGACTAAAAAGAAATATTCAAAGTCATGAAAAGCAAGGACCTACAACCTAGATTACTTTATCCAGTAAAGCTATCATTTAGAATGGAAGGGCAGATAAAGGTCAAGTTAAAGGAGTTCATCATTACCAAGCCCTTATATGAAATGTTAAAGGGACTTATCTAAGAAAAAGATCAAAACTATGAACAGTAAAATGACAACAAACTCATAACCATCAACAAATGAACCTAAAAAAAAAAAACAAAAACCCAAAAACAAAAAACTAAGTGAACAACTAGACTAGGAACAGAATCACAAAAATGAAGATCACTTGGAGGGTTATCAGCAGGGAGGAGGAAGGGGGAAGAATGGGGGAAAAGTACAGGGAATAAGAAGCATAAATGGTAGATACAAAATAGACAGGGGGAGGTTAAGGACAGTACAGGAAATGGAGAAGCCAAATAACTTATATGTACGACCCGTGGACATGAACTAAGGGGTGAGGGACTGCTCGAAGGAATGGGGATACGTGGTGGTGGGGGAAAGGGGCAAAAGGGAGAAAATAATGGGACAATGGTAATAGTATAATCAACAAAATATACTTTAAAAAATCATGTATTTGTTTCTCAAAGTACTAGAGAAAAAGTAAAAAAAATTTACAGAATAGGAGAAAACGATGAAATACACACTGACCAATAACAGACTATTATCCTGATGATGTAAACAACTCATAAATCTGTGCTAAAGCTAGCTAATGCCAGGGCTCAATGGGCATTTCACAAAGAAATTTAAATGGCTGATAAAATAATGGCCAACCATATTTCAGTTGGGCAAGTGCCAAATGAAATAACAATGAGTTACACACCCACCAGAATGGGAAAATCCTAAAAAATCTGACAACATCCCCAGAGCTGAAGAGAATGTGAAATAATGGAAATGCGAAGATACTGCAGTAGTAAGTAAGTACAACATACTACACTCAGTGTGAACAGTGTGGCTTTCCCTAGTGAAACTGGAGCTAAGCCTAAGTAATGACTCCAGCAATTCACTCCTATATACATACATCCTGGAGAAACTTGAGCAACTGTACCAGGAGATAAAACATCTACAGCAAAGGCAAAGTTGGCAAAGAAAACTTAAAACTGGAGCTGGCCTACACTTCCCATTAACAGAATAAACGAAAATATACTCATGCACTGGAACACTACACGACAATAAAAAAGAGCTATATATATGCAACAACATGAATAAATCTTAACATGTTTGGACTAAAAGAAGCAGGATACAAAGGAACAATAAGAATGACACTTCATATAAAGTCCACGGATATACACAAGCCCATGTAGTTTTTAGGGATGCACTCTCAGGTATGAAAACTATGAGAAAAAAACCCCAGGGATATCAGTTACTATCACAAAATGGAAGCATGGTTAACTTTTGCGGAGTGAGGGAGCTGAGACCAGGAAGAGGCACACAGAAGGCTTCTGGGGTGTCAGCAGTGCTCTCGTCCTTGATCTGGTTGTTTGCTTACTAAAAACATTAAACTTTTCTTCATTGCTTTGTGTACTTCTTTGTATGAATGTTTTATTTGGCAATAAAAAATGGTAACAAAAAATTACTTAGTAGTGTAAAACAACAACAACATGCTTTAAGTTTTACGAAAATAAGTGGTTTCACACATTGCCAAGGTCATGTATGGTCCCTCCTCTATGAAGACATCCAAATTAAAACGAGGAGTGAGGGGTGTGTTTGTAGTAAGCCAAGCAGCTCTCAAAGTGAGGAAGTGACCTCAGCAGAATTTCCAAACACTACAAGTCCCCACATGTTACCTACCTTACCACCTTGGCTTACCTTCACTCGTAACTCCTTCATAGGTGGAGGTAATAGGAGGCCTCGGATCTGAGTTACAATAGGCCCTTCTACTCCAGGAACAATAATTGTATCTCCTTCCTTCAAACGCCCATTGATCAATATTACATCTATAGTGGTGCCCATTCCTGGGAGAGCCTTAACCTAAGAGACATTATTGCAAAAACTGTGAAATACATGCAACAATGTACCATGTGTTCATTCAATCTAAAAGCAGTCAACATCCCCACCCAAGAACACTGTTGTTGTTTTTTTTTTTAAAGGCAATAAACTGAAAAGCTGACCATTACCTCCATCACCTGGGCTCTGAGCTCTTCACAGTGTGCAAGTCTCTTGCTCAACATGGTCTGAGTTAGCTCGACGAGAAGGCAGATAAGACTGCCCATTCCATCACCAGTATGTGCAGAGGTAGGTACCAAGGACACAAAAGTGCGGGGGTCTTTATTCTCATAAAACAAAGCCGCATTCAAACCCTAAAGATATAAAAAGCACAATCATTCCACAAGACCAAACTGTGGAAGGCAGTATCCAGAACAGCAATGACTAAACTACAAACTAGATGAGCAAACGGCTAGTCACTCTGAAACTTCTCAGAAACACGCAAGAAAAGATCGTCTATATCTTGAAAGCATTAATTATGTTAACAGAAAAGTAGTGTCTTCCCAAGTTAACTCATTTTTTTCCAAATTTAAACATTCAAACTATAAAGAAATCTTTGAAATATTACCTTTCTGATTTACAAAAGAAAATACGGGAAAATAATGAAAAACATGAATTGCCATTAATAGGGAAACAGAACCAACACTAGTAAAAGTGTAACTTTATTATAAAGACAATGTAATGAAAGAAAAACTTTTCAATGATACAGGCTCTTCATAAAGAAGGGACAACTTTCTTACCTGCTGTGCAAATTCCACTATAATAGCCTTTGCTCGCTCCTCAAATTCATCTTTTGTATTCTTTTTCTGCTTCTTTAAAGTGGCAGCCACATCAGAGTCGGGACTTTTTTTCCAATCATACAGCCTATCAATCTGGAAAGGTTTTTTTCATAAAAAAAATCTCTAAAGCATTCATAACATTCAGGAATTTAATTAAGAACAAAAATCTCCAGAAAATTCCTCATGTATTAGGTTAGCCAAAAAGTCCGTTTAGTGACACATTTTTCATTTTCACCAATAACTTAATTGATTTAGATATTCTGAGTATGTCAGCTATCTCCCATACAGTGTAATGTTGAATCTTCTCAATTAACGTTGCAAGTCCATTGCTGTTAAATTAACTTCAACTGGTCTACCCAAACGTGCAGCATTGTCTAGGAAGAAATTTTGCCCACCACTTCTGATCCACTTGATCAGTCATAGCATGTTCTCCATACACTGCACAAATCTGTGTTTTCACCTTTCTTGAATAGTAAAGCATAATATGCTTAAAATGTCACTTATCTTCTTCCATCTTCAATGTTAAAATGGCTACACAAAAACTCACCAATTTTGGTGAGTTCCTTTTTTAATGCATGATTATATGCCAGCTGCCACAATACAATCTAACAATTAAGAGCTACTAGAGCAAACTAAGAGCTACTAGAGCCATGTTATGGAAAAAAAATAAACTTTTTGGCCAACCCATTATCTTTTTTTTTCTTTGGATACTTTTAAGGCTTTTTTAAAGGGTTTCATCAATGAGATTATATAATGGTTTTATGTTTACTCTACTTTGATATTTTTTAGATTTGGGGATTTCTTTTTTTTTTAAAGGGATAATTCTTTTTTTAAAAGATTTTAATTTTTATTTATTTTATTTTTAGGGAGGAAGATAGAGAGAGAGAGAGAGAGAGGGAGGGAGGGAGGGAGAGAAACATCAATGTGCGGTTGCTGGGGGCTGTGGCCTGCAACCCAGGAATGTACCCTGGCTGGGAATCGAACCTGGGACACTTTGGTTCCCAGCCCGTGCTCAGTCCACTGAGCTATGCCAGCCAGGGAATAGATTTGGGGATTTCTAATCAAGTTTTTGAATATTCTTGGCAATTATCTGCTCCTTTATTTTTTGCTCTCTTTTCTAATTTTCTTTTAATTGTTTGACAGAATTCTAGGATTTTCCTAGAACCTGAGTTATTTCTCTTAATATTGTCCCATAAGTGACTTTAAGTTTCTTTTCTCCTTTCATCCTTTTTTTCTCCACCTGCTTCAGTTTTGGCCAGCCCAATACATTACATACAGGAGAACAAAGAATGACTAGAGATAAAGCCAAAAAGCAAGATGATGATGTAAAAATATCTTTTAAACCTAGAGTTCTACATTAAGTAAAAATATTCAGAAAATATTTTGATCTAAATGATAATAATAACATAACCTGTCTATGCAGTACTCTTAATAGTAGTACTAAGCATGCCTTTAAATCACAGGTGGCAAACACAAGGCCCGCAGGCCAAATCCAGCCCTCCACTGTGTTTTATTTACCCAGTCTGGCACCTTGTTTCTACTAGGTGGAAGCACAGAGCTCTCACTTAACTATTATGGAGTAGTTACATCAATACAGTCCTAAAATCACATTTGGCCCTTTGAAGGCAACTGCAAGGCTGATGTGGCCCCCAGTGAAAATGAGTTTGACACCCATGCTTTAAATGCTTATTATATTAGGGATAAAAATATGAAATCAATGATCTAAAGCTTCCACCTTAAGAAACTGGAAGAAGAAAAACTGAAAAAGAAAGTAGAAAGAAGGATATATAACATAATTAACACTGGACATCAATCACCAACAATAATTAATAATAAAGAATATCGATAAAATAAAAAACTGGTTCTCTGAAATACTAATTTCTCTACTTAAAAAAGAAAAATGAAAAACCTAAATAACCTACAGCCACTTAAGAAATTCCAAGCTGATGTAGACTCTACTGATGAATTCCATAAACCACTTACAAAGAAGAAATAATATTTCTACATTACTCCTTTAGAAAATAGAGGAGGAAAGAAATACTTAACTCTTATTATGAGGCCATCATTACTCAGATATCAAAACCAGTAATAAGGTATATAAGACAACTACATACCCAAATGTCTCATAAAGACAAGAATCTGCAATAAAAATTAGCAAATCAAACCTAGCAATACACGAAAAAATATATCACGATCAAGTATACTAATCATGACCAAGGTTTATTCCAGTAGTGCGAGGCTGTTAGCTTAACATTTAAAATATCAATAGTAGGCAGCAATCTGTGCTGGATAAAGCTGACATCTATATGCAAAGATACACAGACCTTACACCCCTCACAAAAATTAACTCAGAATGGATCACAGACCCAAATGTAAAATACAGAATTCAGAAGTGATAAGCTCCAGTTTCATTAAAATTAAAAACTTCTGCTCTGTGAAAGAGTCAAGACAGTGAGTGAGATAACAAGCCACACACTGGGAGAAAATATTTGAAAAATACATATCCGATAAAGAACTGTTATCCAAAATATATGAAGAACTCTTAAAACTCAACAATAAAGAAAACAAGAATCCAACTTAAAGAATGACAAAGAGCTTAACAGACACCTCACCAAAGAAAGATATACAGATGGCAAATAAGCACATTAAAAGATGTTTTACATCTTATGTTACCAGGGAAACACAAATTAAAACAATGAGATAACACTACACACTTATCAGAATAGCCAAAATCCAAAACTCCAAACCAAATGCGGGTGAGGGTGTGGAACAACATGGTATCTCTTTCACAGATGGTGGGAACACAAAATGGCACAGCCACTTGGAAAGATAGTTTGGCAGTTTCTTAATAAAAATAAACACTCTTACCATAGGATCCTGTCATCACACTCCTTAGCAGAAGAGTTAAAAACTTACCACACAAAAACCTGCACACAATGTTTATAACAGCTTTGCCAAAACCTGGAAACAACCCCCAGTGGGTGAATGGTTCAACTATGGTACACCCAGACAATGGGGCATTATTCAGCACTAAAATGAAATGAGCTATCAAGCCATGAAAAGAAAGAGATGAAACTTTAATGTGTATTACTAAGTGAAAGAAGCCAACCAGAGAAGGCTACACACTGTAAGATTCTAACTACAAGACATTCTGGAAAAGACAAAGCTATGCAGACAGCAAAATGATCTGTGGTTGCCAGGGAATGGGAGGAGGGAGAATGAACAGGTAGAGCACAGAGGGATTTTAGGGAAGTGAAACTACTCTGTGTGATACTATAATTATGGACATATGTCATATACATTTGTCCAACACACAGAAGGTACAAGAGTGAACCCTAATGTAACCTATGGACTTTGGGGATAATGGTGTGCCAGTGTAGGTTCATCAACTACACCAAGCATACCACTCTCGTGAGGGATAGTGATAATGGGGAAGCCATGCATGTGTGGAGGCAGAACTACATGGGAAATCTTTATACCTTGCCCTCAATTCCTGCTGTGAATCTTACACTGCTCTAAAAATCCCAGTCTTTTTAAAAATATATTTTATTGACTATGCTATTACAGTTGTCCCATTACCCCCCCTTCATTCCCTCCACCCTGCACACCCTCTCCCACCCACATTCCCCCCTTTAGTTCATGTCCATGTGTCATAAGTTCTTTAGCATCTACATTTCCCATACTATTCTTGCCCTCCCCCTGTCTATCTTCTACCTACCACCTGTGCTACTTATTCTCTGTACTTTTCCCCTCTCTCCTCCTCCCACTCCCCTGTTGCTAACCCTCCATGTGATCTTCATTTCTGTGGTTCTGTTCCTGTTCTAGTTGTTTAAAAATCCCAGTCTTAATAATAAAAAGTAAAGCCAAAAAACTCAACAGTGACTCATGTTGTTACAGAAAAAAGGAGAAAAGCCACATGAACATCTCAAGATACAGAATAAGCATCTGACAAAAATCAACCACCATTCGTGACTTAAAAGGTAAAAAACCACGCACACAACTTGCCCTGCCTGGATGGCTCAGTTGGTTGGAACACCACTGCAACACCAAAAGGCTGTGGGTTCAATTCCTGGTCAGAGCATATACTGGAGGCATCTAATCAATGTTTTTGTCTCTTACGTTGGTGGTCTCTCTCTCCCTCTTTACCCCCCACCCCTTCCTCTCTCTCTTAAATCAGTAAACACATCATCAGGTGACAATTAAAAATAATAACAATGAACACTCTAAAGCAACCTAGGAAAAGGAGGAAAAATTCTCAACTTAATAATAAAGTGCATTTACAAAAACTCCTACAGCTGACATTGAAAACCAAGCACTTTCCCCCTAAGAGCAGGAAGAGCAAGGATGTCCATCGTTACGTCTGTTCAACATTGTTCTAGAAGGTCTAGTTAGTGTAGTAATGAAGAAAAATTTACAGAGCATACAGATAAGGGAAAAAGTATAACAGCCTTTATCTGCATATAACGTAATCATGTACATAGAAAATCCTACATGATTTACAAAAGCAGCTAATAGGTCTAATCAGTGAATTTAATAAGGTCACAGATAAAAAGCCAATATATAAAAATCAATTGTATTTCTATATGAGTGCTAATCAGAAATCCAAATTTTTAAGATGCTATTTATAATAGCATCAAAACCATGAAATACTATGAATAAATTTAGAAAAGTATTTCCAACACATGGACAATGGAACTATAAAATATTGTCAAAAAAATAAGAAGATGTAAGTAAAGGAAGAGATATCATATTCATTGATCAGAAGACTCAATCTTGTTAAAATGTCAATTCTCCCAGAATTTACCTACAGATTAAATAAAATCCTAATCAAAATCCCAGAAAGCTTTTTGTAGAAACTAAGATGATTCTAAACTTTGGAAATTCAAGGACCCTAAAGTAGCCAAAATAATTTGAGAAACAAAAAGTTAAAGAATTTACCACCACCTGCTGTCAAGATATTACTCTGAAACTGTAATAATCAAGGCAGGACAACACTGGCATAAGCATGGACACACAGGTCAATAAACACACACATAGCTAATTTTCAACAAAGATTCAAAAGCAATTAAATGAGGAAGTATAATTTTTCCAACAAAGGAGTTTGAAATGGATAGTCATATAGAAAAAAGTAAACTTTGAACCTTACCTTATACAATGCGCAAGAATTAACTAAAAACATCACATATCTAACATTAAGTATCTAGAAAAGCTAGAGAAAACTTTCACAAACTTTCTCTAGTTTGTGAAAACTACAGGAAAAGACTATTTGTATAGAACACAAGAAACACAAACTATAAGAAAATTTCTCAAAAGTCAAAATTTGTCTAAATTAGAAATCTCAGTTCTTCAAAACACATCATAAAGGAAAAGCTGGATCCACGACTACAAGTCTATCTGTATAAGACTTATAGAGACAAAATTCAATACCTAAACAACAGTTTGGTAAAAAACAGGCAAAGGATTTTAAACAGATACTTCACAAAGTTAGAGAGAGAGATGTCAAATTAAGTACATAAAAAGATGTTTGATGCCATTAAGTCACCATGGAAATGCAAATTAAACAAAAATAATTTAGTACTATACATTTACTAGAATGGCTACAACTTAGGAAGAATGTGCTGAAACTGGAACTCGCACAGCACAAGTTAAAATATAATATGACTGGTACACAATCCCTTTGGGAAAATGTATCATTTTCTCCTAATGTTGAATATACATATACCATATGACCCAGCACTTCTACTCCTAAGTATTTCCTTAAAGTGAACAAAAACAAGACTTGTATACCCAGCTGCTTCATTAATAACTAACCTAAAATTAGAAACAATCCAAATGTCCTTCAACAGGTAAATGAAGTGTGGTATTATGCAGATAATGAAATACACTCAGCAATAAAAAGGAAAAACCTATGATATATACCACACATGGGTAATTCTGTAACAACACAAGTAGTGAAACCTAAGAGATTACACACTGTGTAATTCCTTTAACATGAAATTATAAAACAGGCAAATCTAGTCTATAGTGACAGAAAGATCAGTTTCTGTTTGGGGTCGGAGAAGGTGGCAGACTATAAAGGAACATGAGGGAACATTCTGGGAAGACATGCTCAATATTCTGAATGGTGGTGCTTATGTGCATGTACAAATTTGTCAAACTACATTAAACTTAGCATGAGTACATTCTTATATGAAAGTTATTCTGGGATACAGTTTTTTAATTACAAAAAACTAAGAAGCACGTTTTCACAATTTAGTTTTTCAGAAGGACAGCTTACCTTATTGAGTGCAACAACAAAGGGACATTTTTTGGATTTCAGAAGGTTGATAGATTCAATTGTCTGGGGCTCCAAACCGTGCATAATATCAACAACTAAAATGGCAATATCACAAAGAGAGCTTCCTCTGTTTCTCAGATTACTGTTGAAAAGAAGGAAAAAGATGCATGAATAGAAATCTTGAAATTAACTTTTAAGTTAAAGAAATTTAAAATTTTAATTTCTTTGTAAAACCTTAACAAAAAAAGAAAATGAAGTACATGCATTAAATTCAAGTACCATTCATTAGCAGTTCACTTGCCACCAAATACTTATCTGACAGTGAACTGACATGAGCTGGAATGAGTTAGTTCTAGAAGTAACTCCTACATTTCTGCCAATTTCGACAACCCACTTTTTTGTGCTGAGGAACATGGCCAAGAGGTAACTGGATAAAATTCTATCTGTAATGGGTTTCACAGGAGACAGACCAGGTATATACTAGGATCTGTTCTTCCAAGTAGAAAAGCCTTATCTCTATTAAAAACAAGTATCCAAACAAAACACTACTAAATCATAAAGACACAGAGAAGGACTGCATTCATCACAGATAACCACAAATCGCAAATACTACCCAAAGATTAAGGACTAATCAGACCTCAATGACTGGACTTTCAGACTCACTGGTTTCAAGCAGTTTGCTTGATGACAAAAGAGTCAATTTGCTCTTACCTGAAAGACTCATGCCCAGGAGTATCAATAATCAGCATTCCTGGAATACGTACGTTCTCTCTGTCGAACTAGAAAAGGTGAAAAGTGGAGCGCATAAGAGAGCCAAAACAATAAAAGCTTCCTTACAAAACAATTATTCTGCCATGAAAACGCTAAACTATCACCCTACCCTTTTCTAAATGAACTATTTTGAAAATAGTGAGTCAACCAGCAAAGCACAACAGTTCATATTTTCATTTACATCAAAAGGAATTCTGCAGAAAAAACTGAAATAAGAAAATAATTACCTTTGTTAAAGTCATAAAACCATGGTATAGTCTACATTTGAGCAGAGTATCAGTATTAAATGACAGAGTGGTCAGCTGAGAATGACTATAAAAAGCTGACACATAAGAAGAGGTTCTTGAAATATGGAGAATTTCTCTGGTCCAATTTTATAAACAATTCTAAACTCTGAAAAATATCCCAACTCAGTTTTAAAGAAAATTTACCACATCAACCCAAATAGTAAAGAATAAATTCATATTCTGCTTTATTCAAATCACATTATAAACATCTGATTTTCTGGATAAAATTACATAAATGAACAAAAACATTACAACAAGCCTGATAGGGACATTGTCCTCCAAGACAATGCTAAAGAGTAGCACTAACCAACAAATCTCACACACACTCTATCCCTCTCACACACACACACCATTTTTTACTTATTTGTATTTTTTGACAATCTTCAAAAACAATTTTTTCCAAAATCCTACCTCCCACTCTAGTTAAAAATTACTCAAATTCGCATCCTGGTGATCCTAAATCAATATTCACTGAGTACCATAATTATTTCCAATTCAGTGTCTGGAATACAAACCCTTATAATAGTCATATAAAGAATACCCAAAGAACTTTAATACAGGCCTAATAAAAATGAAGCTCTTTAGCCCTAGCTGGTGTGGCTGAGTGGATTGAGTGCCAGCCTGCAAACCAAAGGGTTGCTGGTTCAATTTCCAGTCAGGGCATATGCCTGGGTTGCAGGCCAGGTCCCCAGTAAGAGGCGCATGAGAAGCAACCACACATTACTGTTTATCTTCCTCTCTTTCTCCCTCTGTGCCCCTCTCTCTAAAAAATAAAAAAAGGTAAATAAAAAATCATGCTCCTTAACTACGTTCTAAAATAACACCAGATTTCAAGTTCTGGCAACTGGCCACCAGTGAAATAAACTCCCCAGTGACACAGAAATAACAGGTAAAATACAACCAGAATAAATTTTAAATTAGAAATTTGAAAAATTGCAACTCAAGAAAACTGTCCTAAAATAAAGATTTTAAACTACATCCTTAAATGGAAGACCACTAAACTGGAAAATTGACCCAGAAAAATCGACATCAACATGAAACAAGACTATATTACTTTTAAGAAGATGGAAACCTGCTTGTGATCAAACCTGAAAGGCAATACTCTATGTGAGAAGAAATTGAAGTAATTTAAGATCCTTAAGAAAATAAAATGTGAATCAAGCATTTTATATGTAATCAACTGACTTTCTAGGATGAAGGCCACAAGTAACTCTTCAATATTCAAAAAAACTCAAGGAATATTATTGCCATTATTTCTTCTCTAGGAATAGACCAGTAAACAAGCTTCATAAAACACAAGCACACAAAACAAAAACTGGAGAGACAGGCTCACAGATTTTTCCTACATACAGAAGTAAGACTAATAGGGACAAAGGGAGATACTAGCACATAATAATATCTGCTATGTGTGATCTGCTGTGACAGGAGAACTGGGGGATTTTTTGCAAGGCCCAGTTCCAGGTCCGGACCACATTATACGTAAGAGAAGCCTAGAACATCCTGTTATACCAAACAGCCTGGATGCGACAAAAGACAAGTAAGACTACCAGAATTCCTGCGTGAAAAAATACTGAGGAGCCAACCCACTGGGTGAAGACAAGACTATCTCAGTACAACATAACTAAAATAGATTAAAATGCAGTAAATACATTTCAATTCAAGAGTTTATAATACTACAAAACCGAGCCAAATTAATACTACAAAACCAAGCCAAATTGGCCGCTATCTTAAAGTCTGGTAAATAAAGGTAAAGGATCAGATGTCTGTTCTGCCTTTCCCATACACAGTAACAAAACTACTCAGTAACAAAACAGTAGATTAGATAGTTTCTCTACAAAAGTAATCCAATAAATAAAGATAGATAATAGGATTGGAATATCAACATTTTGCAACCACTAGCACAATAAAAGGTAGAGATTACTTTATAAATTGTTCCCGGGTGGAAGAAGGCTTTCATTAGAAAGGGGCAGAGACTGCCTCTGAGGGAACTGGCAGGGTTCCATCCCTGAATGTGGGTGACACAAAGGGTGTCTGCATTAATCATAATGATTCATGAAGCTTTACATTAATCTTACGTAATTTTCTTTGTGTTAACAGTTAGCATAAATGGAATATCTCTAGAACACAGAAAATTAGATAAAAATACATTAATTAACCTGATAGAAGGAAAAAGGAGTGAAGGAGGGAACTCAATTTTAAAACATGGAGATCTATGGAAAAGTGTTAAAATATGGAGGAGAATATACTCTAACTTCAGAAGACCAATGGCCTCTTGGCACAAGAGGGAAGAAAATGCATTATGAAGGGTCCTACAATATCTAATGCTTCATTGCTTAAAGAAAGATCTGAAAATAGGGTAAAATAGGGCAAAATGGCATATATGTTAATTATGAATACTAAACATATATGTCTGTTATACTATTCTGTTCTTTTTTCTATGTTTAAAATAGTTTATCTTTTTAAAAAAAGATTTTATTTATTTTTTAGAGAGAGGGGAAGGGAATGAGAGAGGGAGAGAAACATCAATATGTGGTTGCCTCTCATGTGCCTCCCCACTGGGACCTGGCCTGCAACCTAGGCATGTGCCCTGAGTGGGAATCGAACTAGTGACCCATTGGTTCACAGCCCGTGCTCAATCCACTGAGCTACATCAGCCAGGACTGTATCTTTTTTTAAGATATTAAAACACATGAAATACAGTATACTTACATTTTTAATCATCTTAGTCTGTTCATTAATAGCTTCAAGGGGAACATTGGTGGCGCCAATTTGCTGTGTGATACCACCTGCTTCACCATCTTGTACATGCGTGTGACGGAGCTGGGATAAGACAGCAGATTGTGATTTGTATTTCAAAATGCAAAAAGCAGCAAAAGTAATAAGAAAGTAGTAACTTATTTACTGTAAAGAGAATTGCATGTACGCACTATAGTTTGTTATTAGCCTTTTATAAGGTATCGTTTAAAAAGTTACGTCAATGCATAGCAGTATTTTCTTACCTTATCTAGAATTTTTGTCTTCCCTGTGTCCACATGTCCAAGTACACATATAACAGGAGCTCTTAGCTTTTCCGTATTTACATTTTTACTGTGTTCAAGTCGCCGTTTCTAGGAAGGAAAAAAATCTCAAATATTATTTCAAACCCTGTCATTATTTTCCTTTAAATTATTTTGCTTTGGCAAGAGAATGCTACATCATCAAGGTCTTTGTTGATTTAACTACACTTTTACATTGTACAATGTGAGCTTTACAATCTAATTCCCTCCACAGTACCTTTGAACAAGGAGAAACCTGGTTAGAGTAGCTATCAGAGTAGCACTGTTAATGCAACTAAGAATCATGTGAAGCACTGGCTCAAAATTTGGAACCCTTCTGTTCACGGCTAATTTAATGGAATAGAATGATTAGAAAAGAAATTGATCTTTCTGTCACATTTACTATATAGTACAACCTCTAACTTATGTGGGAGTTATATAAAAAGAGATATACTCTTTCATTCAAAATATTTCATTAAAACTTCAGAGTTGTAAAACATTTTAAAGCAATTTATTTCAAAACTTTGTCTAGTACACAAACACTTATGAAACCTTTCAATTAGGAGAAAGTTTACTTAAGCCTTAGCCTAAGATATCCAATGGCATTTCCTACCTTCCTAATGTACCACCAAGCATGAGAAAGTTTGTCTTAAATCACAATGTATTTTCTGTAGCATTTACCTAAGCACTTTAACTTTCTCAGAACCAAACAAGAACACATGCCAGTAGTTCTTCTTTCAAATGACACCTTTCATGCACAACCACGCTGGCATTCAAATAAGATCCAAACTCTGAAGTACTATCAATTACAACACTATTTTACAACTAAAAACCATTTTCGTAGAAACTATTTTTATTTCTACCACTTGACACTGGATCTTTTGAAAGTGGAATAAAGCTTTAAAATGTTAAAGTGAGGTGCAAGTATTTACTAGAAAAGAGCAGCATACAAGACCTTCACAGTATGTATGACTGGAATGTGAACATTATAACCTTAGGATAGGACACGGTTGAAAATTGCCTTCCCTCCTATACTTGGTCAAGTGTTAAAATTTTCTGAAAGGCAATATAGTATATATTTTAACTTAAATTCTGTTTCTAAGCAATGACAGGACAAGGAGATAAAGATGCATGTATACAATATTGTCCGTTCACTGCAATATTGTTTATAATAGTGAAAATTAGTAACCACTTAATCTTCTTTGGTGGGGAATTTCTCAATGAGTGTCCCCAAAACTCCAGGCTGATGATACTTATGTGGTTGCATATAATCATGTAGGTAGAGACACTATCCACAATGGAACTACTTGAGAAGTCTGTAGTGTATTTCAGAAAATAATATGTAGCAAGCTTTGAGAATCATGAAGTTTGTTATGGATTGAAATCTATCTCTCCCAATTCATACGATGAAACCCCAACCCCCAAATGTGACTGTATTTGGAGAGAAGACCTCAAAGGATGTAATTAAGGTTAAATGAGGTCCTAAGGGTGGGCCCTAATCTGATAAGGTCTGGTATCCTTATAAGAAAAATAAAAAATCAAGGCCAAGTTGAAGACTCAGTGAGAAAGCAGCCATCTGCAAGCCAGGAAAAGAGCCATCACCAGAAAACAAACCTGTTGGCAGTTTAATCGTGAACTTCTGGCCTCAAGAACTGTCAGAAAATAATTTCTGTTTAAGCCACCCAACCTGTAGTATTTTGTTATGGTACTCTAAGCAAATCAATATAAAGTTAAAATAAAACCTTCCTATGAAATGGAATACAGTATGTGGCTGTTAAGGTGTTGTTGAATTGGGATTTCTTGAATGATAAAATAAGGAGCTCAGCAAATCCTCTTCCTAAAAAGAAAAAACTGGACAAAAGAGTCAAATCAACCACTTAAAGCCTCTAGAAATTGGCCCAAGGCATAACAAATTGAGAAACCTTTAACTGAATAAAGTCAACTGACCATCAGTAAAAGGAAGGAAGCCTGTGCAGGTTTAGTTTGGAATTGCACCATCACACTCCCACTGCTCCATGAGATAGAAGCAGTATGAAAAGGATGATGGGGAATTCCATGCCTTAGAGCACTGTCAAAAACCATAGTTATCTCAATGGCAAACAAAGAAATGAAGCTAAAATCACAACCAGACTAAGGTCCTAATACTAGGGGAGCAAAAGATAACCTGGAACATCAGTCAGAAATTTAACAAGGTCTTTTGACTAAGACAAACAAAGTAGGCAATACTAAAATCCTACTTATTCTGGTGGTCTAGAAGGTTGTGCTCCCTTTGAAGGTTGTCAGAAGAGACCAGAGAGGTCCTTAGTGAGTTACTTGTTCCCAGCTCAACGACAAGCCTTGTGAATGCACAGTGAAAACCAGAGTGGAATAGGAAACTGCCAGATCCACTGGCAAACGGTGGAAGCCTTCCTGCCTCAAAGTTAATGAGCAGAATCAACCGACAAGTCATGTGCCTGACCACTAAAATAAGTCAACCAACTCACATAAGACCTAAGCTTAAAAATATCAAGATTTTAAAAATTAACCAAAAAACTGAGAAGAAAGCAAAAAACTCCAAAGAATTAGTCCCCTTGATTCACTAAGCCAATAAATTTATAGAGCTAAAACCATCACATTTCTAGGGAACCAACAGAATTCAGATTTGCTGTAATATATTCTCTGAGATGTCCACGTGTCAAAAAATATTTATAAGACATACAAAGAAACAGGAAAAAGTGACTATATATAAATATATAAAAATATATAAAAACACAAGAGAAAAATGGTCAACAGAATCTGGGTCTCTATTTTGGACTTAGTGGACAAAGACTTGAAAGCAGCTATTATAAACATGTTAAAATAACTAAAGGGAACCACATTTAAAGAAAAGAAATGACATATCAAAAGAGTGTATCAATAAGTAGAAATAAATTATTATAAAAAACATGAAAATCCAGGAATTTAAAAATTTACTAAAAGGGCTCAATAGTAGACGTACACTAGTGGAAGAAAAGGAATCAAAGAACTTAAAGACAGATTAATAGAGATTTTGTAATCTGAATAGAAAGAAAAAATGGAAAAATAAAACCCCTACACCCTCAACAGACCTGTGAATATCAATGTACATATAAAAGGAGTCCCAGAAGAAGAGAAAATCATTTGAATAAATGGCAGAAAACTTCCAAATTTTGATGGAAAACATTAATCTATGTATCTAAAAGTTCTATGTGGATAATCACAAAGATATCCACACCAAGACACATCATAGTTAAATTGTTGAAAGTCAAGGTCAAAAAGAAAATCTTGACAGCAAGAGAAAAATCGCTCAATGTATATAAGGAAGCTCAAATAAGATTAATAGCTTAATTTTCAGCAGAAGCAATAAAGGCCAGAAGGCAATAGAATGACATAGCAAGTGGCTAAACAGGAATTTTTTTAAAAAACAAAACAACAAAAACCCTGTGAAGCAAGAATTCTGCATGCAGCAATATTCTCCTTAAAAATAAAAGTGAAATAAACAATTCCAAAATTGTTGGAATTTAAAAAGGCTGAGACTTCACTGATAGATCAGCATGATGAGAAATACCATAGGAAGTTCATCAGGCTGAAATGAAGTGACACCAGGTGGTAAGTCAAAGCCACATGAAGAAATAAGGAGCAATGGCAAAGGTCATGATATAGTAAATACAAAAGACAGTAAACATGTACCTTTTCTTATTTTCTTTGCTTAACTGATTTAAAAGATAACTTCATGAAATAATTTTAAGGTTGTGTGGTTAAGCTTATTATATAAAAAAGTGTAATAAATCTTAAAAAGAGCCCAAAAGGCAAGGTAAGGGAGGGACTAGAGCTTTACTATAGCCACCCCCCCTCAAAAAAAAAAAAGCAGAAATAATCCATCTGAAGAAATGAGGAATACTAGATATGTCAATATTTAAGTTAATATTAAGATACTATAAATATATTTTCTCCTTTCTTCTCAATTCATTTAAAAGATATAAGACCAAATATGACATTCATAACATCCACTGTTTTACTGGGACTAGAACATTTATAAACACATATAACAATAACAGCACAAAGAAAAGTAGAAAGAATGGATGTATAGAAGTCTGCATTTTACTACAATTAAGCTACTAATAATCTAAAGTAGGTAAGATACATATTGTAATGCCTTCAGCAACCGTTAAGAAAATAACTTAAAAAAAAAGGAGACATAAGACATGCAATATGTAGAAAAACAAATAGCAAAGAGGAAGAAAATCCAACTATATACATAATATTTTAAATGTAAATGAATCAATTAAATACTCTTAAAGGCAGATTGTATACCTGGGTAAAACAGCAAGATTCACCTACATGCTGCCGTGGAGACACGTTAGATTCACAGACACAAATAGACTGAAAGTGATTATGACTGAAAAAGACACAACATACATAAGACAGCTAGAGTGGCTGTGTTAACTCCAGACCGAAAACACTGTTACTAAGGTATACAACTCAACATAAGTTAGGAACTTCAATAACTCACTTTCAATAATAGAAAAACTACATATAAAATAAGCAAGTATACAGAAAATGTGAACAACACTATCAACAAAACTGACCTAATTAAACGCCACACCCACCAACAGCAGAATCCATATTCTGCCTTAGGGCACAGGAAACATTTTCCAAAAGAGACCATATGCTAAGGGATAAGACAACTTTTATTTTTAAATGACAGAAATTATACAAAGTATGTTCTCTGACTACAACAGTCAGAATTTAGCATTAACAACAAAAGGAAATTAATGAAATCTACAAACATTTGTAAATTATGACAACATACTTCTAAATAACACATGGGTCAAGAGAGAAATAGTAAAGGAAATCAGAAAATATTTGAACTAAGTAAAAACCACATACCAAAATTTACCGGATTTGTAACTTTAAATATATATGCAGTATTAGAAAAGAAAAAAAGTCTCAAGTCAATAATTTATTGCCCTAAAAAATCAGCCAATGAAGAAACTAAAAAAAAAAAAAAGGAAGAAAATAATAACAGAATAAAGAGATCAATTAAGAAGAAAACAGAAAAACAGAAAAATGAAACCAAACACTGGGTCTTGAGAAGATCAAAAAGATGGAAAAACTAGCCAGACTAAGGGGGTGGGGGTGGGGAAGAGGAGACACAATCACCAAAATCAGGATCAAAAGAGGAGGCACTACTATTGACTACAGAAACTGACAGGATTGTAGGTGATACTATAATTAACTTCATGTTCACAACTGAAATAAAACATAATAATTATGAGAAAGACAAAAATTATTGAGAACAAGATAAAGAAGATGAATAAATAAGAAACTATATTGATTTTAAAATCTCCCCATAAAAGCTTTATTAGTAACTTCTGCCAAACATTTAAAATAGTAAGTAATATAATCACAAACTCTTACAGAAAACAAAGAGGGAACACTTCCCGACTAATCCTAAGAGGCTAATATTAAACTGACACTAAAGACAGAAAAACACATTATATAACAAGAAAGCTACTGGTAAATATCACTCAAGGGTATAGATCACAAAATCCTCAACAAGATATTACAAACCAGCTCTGGCTGGTGTAGCTCAGTGGATTGAGCACGGGCTGCGAACCAGGCATTGCAGGTTCGATTCCCAGTCAGGGCACATGCCTGGGTTGCAGGCCACAGCCCCCAGCAACCGCACACTGATGTCTGTGTGTGTGTGTCTCTCTCTCCCTCTCTCTCTCCCTCTCTCATTTCTCTCTCCCTCGCCCTATTTCTCCTTCCCTTCCCTCTCTAAAAATAAATAAAATCTTAAAAAAAAAAAGACATTACAAACCAAATCAAGCAACACATAAAGAGGAATATATACCATGATCAAGTGGGATCTTAAAAAAAAAAAGACATTACAAACCAAATCAAGCAACACATAAAGAGGAATATATACCATGATCAAGTGGGATTTGTTCCAGAAATGCAAGTTTGGTTTTACTTTTGAATACCAATTAATGTAATATAGCACACATTAATACTAAAAAGGAAAAAGAACCATTTCAATAGACATACAAAAGGCATCCAACCTTCATTCATGATAGAAAATGTTAACCAGGAAAAAAAATTTCCTCAAACTGATGAAAGGTAGCTATAAAAAACCTACCACTAACATAGTTAATGGTTAAAATCTGAATGCTTTTCTTCCCAAAGACTAGGAACAAGGCAAGTATGTCTGCTCTTAGCCACTTCCATTTAACAATGCATTGTTCTACCCAGGGAAGTTAGGCAAGAAAAGAAATAAGCAGCAATGAGACTGGAAGAGAAGAATTAAAATTATCCTTTGATAGGTAACATGACACTGAATAAACAAAACTCTAAAGAATCTATGAGAAATTATTAAAATAAAAAATTAATTACAGTTGCAGGATATAAGATTAATCTACAAAAAAGCTGTATTTATACTAGCAATGAAAAATATTAAAAATGATTCTATTCATAATAGTATCAAAAACAAATACTTCATAAAAATTTAAAAATAAATTTATCAAAAAAATTACAAATCTTGTACTGTGAAAACTATAAAACACTGCTAAAAGAAATTTTAAAAGCTCTAAATAAATGAAAAGACAGCCGGTTTCCATGGACTGGAAAACTCAATATTATTAAGATGGTAATTCTCCCTAAAATTAATCTATATATTCAATACAATGTCTAGCAAAATATAAGTTGACTTTTTGCCAAAATTAACAAGCTGACATTAATATATTTATTTGAAAGAGCAAGTAACCTAGAATAGCCAAAACAATCTTGAAAAGGAAGAATAGCACTGGAAGACTAACATTTCCCAATTTCAAATTTTACTATAAAACTAACCAAGACAGTGTGGTACTCTCATAAGAACAGATAAACAGATGAATGAAACAGAACTAAAGGTCCAAAAATAAACCCTCTTATTTCCAATAAATTGCTCTATCAAAGATGCCATAGCAATTCAATCAGGAAAGGAGCCTTTTCCATCAGTGATGCTCGTTACATTCATAAAAAATGAGTTTAGTCCCTTACCTCACATCATAAAGATTATCTTAAATCATTGAGCTAAAAATATAAGAAACTAAAAGTATAAATTTTTTAGAAGAAAATAGAGCAAAATATTCATCACCTTGGGTTAGGCAAAGATTTCTTCAATACAACACTAGAAACATGCTTTATTTAAAAATTTTTTGATAAACTGGATGTTATGAAAATTTAAAAATTATACATTTCACAAGAAACCATGAAAAAATGAAAAGGCTACAAAAACTAGGGGGAGGGTGGTAATGGGAGGGAAGTGGGGAGGGTTGGGTGGGTGGGCTGGAATAGGAGTAAAAGGGAGAAAATTGTACTTGAACAATGATTAAAATTTAAAAAAAATAGAAAAATAATGAAAAGGCTTTGGGCTAGGTGGAGGCCTAGTACAACTTTTCTATGGTTGTCTGCAATCTATGCTCATCCAACACCAGCTGCCTCCAACAGGCTACCAATGTTTGACCCCGATGTGATCAAAGTCATATACCTAAGGTGTATGGGTGGGAAGTCAGTGCCATGTCTGCCCTGGACCCCAAGATCGGCCCTCTAGGCCTGTCTCCAAAACAGGTTGGTGATGACATCACCAAAGCGACTGGGGACTGGAAGGGTCTAAGAACTACAGTGAGACGGAATAGATAGGCTCTCAAAAGAACCACCCAGAGACAAAAAGAAGAAGAAGAAAAAAAAAAACATTAAACAGTGGAAATATCACTTCTAATGAGATCATCAACACTGTCCGACAGATGTAGCACCAATCTTTAGCTCTAGAGATTTCTCTGAAACTATTAAAGAGGTCCTAGGGACTGCTCAATCTGTGGGCTGCGATATTGATGGCTGCCTCTCTCATGACATCAATGAGTGGAATACCCAGCTAGTTAAGAACTACAAAGGAAAATATTTCAACTAAATATTCAATAACTAATAGGAAAAATATGGGGGAAAAAAGTTCATACCTCAATAAGAAAAAGTCAAATTACAAAATTTAAAAATAGACAAAAATTTCAATTAATGTTTCATCAATAAAGTTATAAGAATGGCCAAAGCACATGAAGAAATGCTCAACATTATGGAAATACAATTTAAAACCACAAGTAAGACAAATTTGTGGTTTGTCTTAATATTAGACGTCCATTAAAATGGCTGTAATTTAAAAGACAGACAATAACAAGTATTAGTGAGAATGCAGAGAAACTAAAACCCTCAACAGGTGGTAAGCTATAATTGCACAGCCACTATGGAAAATACGGCAGTATTGGCAGTTTCTGAAAAAGTTTAACACAATCTACCATACTATTCATCAATTTCACCCCTTAGGAATATATCCAAAAGAAATAAAAACACATTTCCATGCAAAAACTCATATGGAAATGTTTATAATACTATTCATAATAGTCAAAAAGTGGAAACAACTCAAATGTCTTTTAACTGATGATTAATAATAAAATATGGTATATTTATATAAAACACTATTTGGCAATAAAAAGTAACAAAATACTGATATAACTACCACATAAAGAAACAGAAGAAGTAAAATAACCCAGGCACAAAAGACCACATTTTATAGGAATGAATTTTTATGGAATTTCCAGAAAAGATAACTCTGTACAGACAAAGTAGATTAGTGGTTGCCTGGGGCTAGCAATGGGGAATGACTGTAAACTAGCACAAGGATTCTTTCGGGGTTAATGGAAATACTCCAAAATTAAGGTGTGTGGATGGTTGTACAACTGTAAATTTACAAAATGCCAATGAATTATATACACTTAAAACAGACGGATGGTATGTAAAGTTTATCTCAACGAAGCTGCTTAAAAATGTGTTGAACTAAGAGGTCCATAGCATATTATTATGTGGGGAAAAAAAGTCTCTCCAAATTTTATTATGTAACTTTAATTAAACATTTTTAAAAAATTTGAATACACAGTACTACAAACAAGTCTGAGGAGTGAGATAATGGAGCAACTTTTACTTTCTGCTTTATACACATTTTGTTTGTTTTTAAATCTTTGAACACACAACAAACTCTAACACAAGGGTACAGAGCAAGGAAGCTGGCTGGGTTGGTGCTATAAGGAGGAGCAGAGTCATAACCAGGGGAAGGGGGGGAATGCTGCTGGGACCTAGTGAGTAGGTAGGACAGAGACACCGCTCAATATCCCAAAATAAAGAGGACAGCTCACAGAGCAAAGACATCTGTCAATAGTGCCAGGATTAAGAAATCCCAATTTACAAGAGTCCTTCTTACTCCTTTAGAAATTCAGAAAATGTGCCCCTATCCAGACATTATAGAAGGAAAAGGCAAACACTGATATTCAGGTATTAAAACAAAAAATTGAAAAATCAGAATTATGAAAAAATAAAGAGAAGTTAAAATAGTGTTTAGGTTTAAAATAGCTAGCTTCCTCAAGCAAACTAGTTTTTAGTATATTATTTATGCTAAGCTGACATAATTTAAGAAAATTTTCTCTTGACATCTACTGAATAGGAAAAATATAGTAAGTCTCCTAGGTATGTGCACTTCAATAAACAGAATCTCATTAACCCACTAGATTTAAACAATTTAAGTGATCAGATGCCTTGTAGTGAGTAACTTAAATATGCAACGCAAACAACTAATGTTTTAAGTAGAGGGCATATGCTCAGAATACCTCTGCATACCTAGAAACCTTCACTCAAGGAGCATGTTAACATTTGGAGAACACAAGAAAAACGTGATGAAGCAGTCACAGTTCTCACTTAGGTTAAGGGAGTTAGGTCTTGGATTACAACAGTGTCAGACCTACTATGTCTCAACCTACAAAAACTGGACAAGATACTATTCTGAAACTATTATTTTTAAAAGTCCTGTTATCATTAAAAACCTTTGTTGTAGAATATAGTTCTAGCAACCACAGAGGATTGACTGTCTAGGAAAGGAGCAAAGAGAAAGGGAAAAAGAAATACCTCAATCCTCCGCTTTGCTTTGTCATAAGTCCGTTCTTCTTTAGTTCGATCATCATCAGAGTCATATTCAGATTCTGAGCTCATTTCTTTACTTGGCTTTTTATCTAATGTTTTCCCCGAATCTTTCTCATCTGACACCTTTTCTTCATCTTCTTCACCTTCACTGCCTTCGCTTTCTCCTTCATCTTCCTCTTCTTCTTCACTTTCTTCTTCCTCCTCCTCCTCTTCCTCCTCCTCCTCCTCCTCTGGGTTTTCTTTTACTTCTATATGCACTGTGTTTCCTTCTTTCAGAAAAATAAGAGAATTTAAAATAAACAAAAATTTAAAATGAGGTTTCCATCAAGATGATAGGGACCTCGGAGACAAATAAGACAACGTTGTATCATTAATTCCCAATCAACCTTTCCATGTGTCATAAATGCAAAGTGCCTGTCTACATGCTACAAAGACAACTGCTATTTAACAGTGAAAACTTAATGCATAACCCATACATAAACTAATAAAAAAGAAAAACATTACTAAGCCAGGATCTGAGGGAGGACAGAAACCCAGGGTGATAAACATAATGCTGAGTACTTCTTCTCCCTGGAGGTCACGTTCTGATTCTGGATGAGGAAGCTAAAAGGCTGAGCAGTGCTTTTACTAGCCCCTCAGTCATCAGGGGGCATTGCGAGCTCAAGCCTACCAAGGATTCAAGGGAGGAAGGTGGAGAGACATTGGATAATACCCCTACTGTGAGGTGGTACCCTGAAGAACTGCATCCTAGCAGTAAGGATGAACAGGAAGTAAACAGCCTCTAGAAATGTTCTACCATTCTTAGCAGAATACATCTCGATTCTCTGAATTCTAAATTTTAAATAAGATGATTCTATACTGCTAGTTCACTCCTGGTAGATGTACATAGAAATTCTTTCTGGGAAAAGTAAATACCATCCTTGACTACAAATTATTTCTACAGTTTTACAAGTATAATATCTAGCATAATATACAAAAATCACAAAGTACATGAGAAAACAATGCACATGAAGAAAGAAAGCATTATAGATACCCACAGGGTTTTCACTGAAATTATAAAACTAAAATTTAAAAATGACTATGTTTCCAACATCCAAAGAGCAAAAGATGAGATTGAAATGTTAAGAAAGTAAATAAAAACCATTAAATAGTTAAAGGGAAATTCTAAAACTGAAAAATACAGGAAAGAAAAAATAGCCTAAGGAGAAAATTAATGAACCAGAAGACAGATCAGAAGAAACCATCTAGAATGAACCATGGAGACTCAATAAGGTGGGAAATACAGAAAAAAGGAAAAAAATGGAATGCAATGATATAGTAAGAAGGTCTATCTAGGCATAACCAGAATCCCTGGGGGGAAATAATGGCTCATAACATTGCAAAAATTTTAAAAACATAAAACCAAACATTCATAAAACTCTACAGGTAGATAAATAAAAAGAAATCAACCCTAGCCACATCATAATCGAACCACTGAAAACCAAAGGCACATAAAAATTTTAATCTCATATCCAAATTCTCAACAGAAATAATGAAAGCCAAGACTAGATATTATACATATTTTCAAAGTGTTAAATAAATAAAATTTCAGCAAAGAATTCCTCACTCAGTAAATATACCCTTCAAGAATATGGATGAGAAAAAGATATTTTTAGAAAAGCAAAAATGGGATGTCTCACTAACAGATTCATACTAAAAGAAAGTCTAAAAGTTCTTTGGAGAGGAAGAAATGATAACAAATGGAAGGTCAGAGATGCAGGAAGAAATTAAGCACACACAAAAAGCTAAGACTATAGGTAAATTTAAAGACTGTAAAAATAATGAGCTATTATGGAGTTTACAAACAGAAAATTAAAATAAATGAGACCAATAACTTATAAACTGAGAACTCGGTAAATATTATTCACATATTCAGTGGTCTTTGCATTGTCTGGGAAGATGGTTACATTATAAGAATGACAGTTTAAAGATCCATGTTGAAAGTCTCTAACCCTAAAAAGTAAGTGACAAAGTACATAAATTCCAAGCTCATGGAAGGAGGGGAAAATGTTAATAGTAAAATCAAACAATCCAAAACATGGTTAAAGAGGTGAGAAAAAGAAACAAATATCAAGGACTTAGTAAGATAATAAATATAAAACCAATATATTCCATTACGTACATCAAATGTTAGGGGTAATGGGCTAAGTGCACTATGTAAAATATAAAGACCAACAAACTAAATGAAAAATCTCAACTATATGCTATTTAAGGATACAAAAGGAGTAATAAAGATAGAAAAAGAGCATAAAAATCAAAGCTGTGTAGCTATATTAATATCGGATCAAGCAGACTTTAAGGCAAAAGGGACTGCTAAAAATAAGTATAAAGTAAATACAATATAAATAAATATCAATGATAAGAGTCAATTAATTCATCAGAGAAATATAAGACTGTATTCACTTAATATATGGCACCAAAATATATAAAGCAAAAGTTGACCGAACTCAGACAGAAACAGACAATCTATAATTACGGTGGGAGTTGCTTTTTGCTTTTAATTTTATTGATTTGAGAGAGAGAGAGGAAGGGAAAGAGAGAAACACTGATCTGTTGTTCCACTTATTTATACATTCATTGGTTGATTCTTGTATTTGCCTTGACTGGGAATCACCCGCAACCTTGGCCTATCAGGACAACCTCTAACCAACTAAGCACCCAGCCAGGGGATGTTGGGAGATTTTAATACACCACTTAAGTGAAAAAACCTCAGAACATGAAAGACTTAAAACAAAATTACCAGCAAACTTAACCAAACATAGCAAACAAGGCACCTAACTACTACAGAATGTAAACCCTTTCCAATCACACATGAAACATTTACAATGATCCACTATTTGCTGGGTTGTAAATTAAGTCTCAGCACACTGCAATGGCTAGAACCATGTATGTTAGAAAGTCCACGCTTAAATAAAGAAATACACTTTTAAGTAAGTAATAGGTGAAATTAGTATATATCAAAATGCAAATTTTAAAAAATCAACATATTAAGATCAGAACTTATAGAATTTGGTTAAACATATTCTTAAAAATTTGTAATTTTAAAAATATGTATGTATTGGAAGGAAAAGACTGAAAAACCAAAGAGACAAATATCCATCTCAAAAGGTTAGGGAAAAAGTCAGCAAATTAAATAAAAAAAAAGTTGATTTTAGTAATAGAAGGACATAATGTAATTACAGACACTTTTTATTTACAGTGATTAGAAACTGTTGTTATTTGTATTGTCTTTTGTTAGATTTTAAGTTGAAGGGGCTTTTTGTAGGCTAGCTTTGATAATGTAATCCCATTTATAGTCTGAAAAAATGTACTCTAAATGCCAGGCACCTATTTTACAAATAACCTTCTAAAAAACAATTTATTCATGAAATGGGATCCACATGAGGATTTAGGAAACATGACAATGGAGAAAGCAAAACTGTTCTCTTCCTAGGAATGCTCATATGACAGTCATAATTAGGAGACTGATAATCCTTTAAACACCTCTAACAATCACTGGATTTATCAAGAGGTGTTTATAAGCTATTCACCTTTTTCTCTCTCCTCATCACTGACCATAGCTTCCCAGTCATCCAATCCATCATCCTCAGTATCTTCTTCCTCTTCTGTAAATAAGAGTTTCCATTAAAGACATAGAAAAAAGTAGAAAATTACACTGACATAAAAAGTAAATGTTTTAATTATATAAAAATAAAATTTCATTATCTTTGGAACTATTTTTCAATGTAGTAAGTATATTATAATTTACTATTACTAAATGCTTCACAATTTCCCAGTATTTTTGAATACAGGTTGAGGCAAAGAAGATTCATAGTTGTTTGCATGGGAAATAAAATACAAAAATTAATAGCTAATACAAGAATAAACTATTTTTTAAGTTAATTTGAGAGACAGAGAGGAGAAAAACATCAATTTGTTGTTTTACTTAATTTATGCATTTGTTGGTTGACCTTGTATATACCCTGATCAGAGATCGAACCCACAACCTTGACGTATTAGGATGATGCTCAAAATCAACTGAGCGATCCAGCCAGGGCAAAAATAAACTCTGTGTTTCATATACTCATAACTATAAAACTACTTTTGCCCCACCCTGTATACTAGGGCACATGTTCACACTTGGTTCTTAAATACAAATGAAATTTCACATATATATCTTCTTTGATCTTTGGGCTTACCTTTATACACCCACAAGAATTCATTATTGATACATACAAATGCTATATAAATTACATAGTTGGAAGCACAAAGCTACATCTTTACTCCAGTTGAAAATAAGAACAGATGTGCTTACACCCCCAAAATAGGCAGAAAGCTATTACTATTCATTTATTTACTTTTAAAAAGAGGGGAAAGGAGGGAGAAAGGGAGAGAAACATTAATATGCGATATACGTCAATCAGTTGCCTCTCACATGCCCCTAACCCACAACCCAGGCATGTGCCCTGAGAATTGAACCAGTGAACTTGAAGTTTGCAGGCCGGCACTCAGTCCACCAAGCCATAGCAGCCAGGACAGAAACCTATGATTTTTAATGTTTAAAACTTAATACAGTTTTTAGTAATAACAACTCTCCATTTACTGAAATCCAATCAAGCACGACTATTCTCAAAAGATGAGGGCACAGGTAGTATTTGCTCCCCTCTAATAATCAGCATTTGCCAACAAGTTCGGATAAGTCATCTTGAGAAGGAGGAAATGAGTTAGGATCCTGTGTCTAAAATATCCTTACACTTCAGCAATTCTTTCTACTGCTACAAATACCACCTAAAGTAGTGGACTGCTTTTAAACATATCAACCTAAATTTCTCTAATTTCATTATGCTAAGCTAAGGTATATCCAGACAAATGATCCTTTTTACATTGAGAATGGGGGTGGGGGACAGGAAAGGAACTATCAGTATCTTTCACCAGTGTGGGTTAGTCTTGACATCCTCTAATGTTTCCATTCCCACACCTGTCTTTGAACACTTGAGAGTCTCTTGATTTTACCAAACATGTGACTCTACCAATATCTAGTCTAATAAATTAGAACAATGTTTATCTTAAAAAAAAAAAAAAAAAGAAAGAAAGCCAGATTTCCAGCCTAAAAACACAAGCAACTGAATAAATTGAATTGATTTACTATGAGGCTGACTTCTAAGAAAGTTTTTTAAATGCCCATCTTTATGACTCAAAGTTCTAATTAAAAATGCTTCCAATTTTCTTTGGAAGCATTAAATAAAGAACTTCAGGTCTTCTTGGCACTGTGTATGATTTCTGACCCATCAATATGTAACAGAGAAAATCCAAAAACCTTTATCCCCTCTACAAAAATTTTACTGGCTCTTCTGAAAAGAACAAAATTGATTCTAATCTCTCTTCTACACTTTTCCAAAGTGAAAATGAACAAAGATGATTTAGAAAGAACTGGAAAAAAAGGCCATCCTGCTAGATATTTGGTTTCCTCAAACTAATAATAACTAATTAACATATCCATGCTACTTAATAGGAATTTATTAGTCAATGCTACTGACCTGCTTCAATAGGAGGTGGTGACTCTTCTTTTTCTGGTATTCCTTGTTCCACAACTTCTACAGCAGCACTTAATTCTATTGGCTCAGACACTGAGTAAAGGGCGGAAACCAAGTTACTATTTTTTCAGCATATAGTTTCTGTTAGGATACTCTGTTAAGTATGGAATAAAAACCAGTAGTATAAACCTAAATTGTTTACATTTAAATACTATAAAAACGTTTAAGTATTAGTTATATATTATACAGAAAACAGTTTTTCTTACTGCTCAAGAAATAGAATGCAAAATTACAGAAGACTGAGAAAACAAACAGAAAATGATAGTTATGCTTTCAGTTAAGGATAGTTATTCATAGGGTAAGATCCCAGTTTTTCAAACACAAGTACTTTTTCATCACCCTGTCATCTGAATCAGTTGAGAATAACAGTAATCAAAAAAAAACAAACAAAAAAATGGAAAAAGGTATAGAAAATAACTTTTAATATGCAATTCTATTAATTTTTTTAAAGACACACTGTTTTAAAGGTGTGGGCAAAGGCAAATAAAAATGTTTCTAAACCACAGATTATTTTGTATACAAACCTTCTTTATTTTCTAGCTGCTGTGGAGTCTTTTTCCTCTTTTTGTCTTCATAAATTGGCCTTTTCTTTGGCAAAGAGTCTTTTGATGGCACTTCAACACCTGAGGAGTAACAATGGAAAACTCCAGGTCTATCTACTACTTGTATGTCACCTAAGAAATACTACTTAAACAGATTAACATTTTATTCACTTCAGAGATACCCTAAAATAGAAAATAGAATATATATGGAAAAACCTTTGTTTTGTTTACTTATTTAAATCCTCACTGGATATGTTTACTAATTTTACAGAGAGAAGAGAGACAGGGAGAGACAGACACAACAATCAGTTGCCTCTCTTATGCACCTCAATTGGGAATTGAACACATACCTTGCGTATGTGCCCTGACCAAGAGCTGAACCCGCAACCCTCTGGTATACAGGATGATGCCCCAATCCACTGAGCTATTTGGCCAGGGCACCTGTTTTTTATATAAGGTATTCTAGATTTTATATACATTAAAATTCCATTATTTTAGGGTCCAGTTCTATGAGTTTTGACAAATGCATAGCTATGCAACTATCATCACAATGAAAATGCAGAACAATTCCATCACCTTGTGCGGTTCTACATAGTAAAATCCTGTTCATATTCTTAGCTGCTGGCAACATTGACCTGTTCTCCATCCCCAAATACGTGCTTCAAATGTCAAAGAAATGAACCTTACAGTCTGACTGCTGTCATCTTAAGGGATTTGATGGTCATCCTCTTTGTTGTATGAAACAACAGTTCATTTCTTTTTACTGCTGCCTAGTACTCCATTGTACTGATGATGGACTGGAGTTCCTTTATTCAGTAGACAGTTTAAGGATATTTGAGTTGTTTCTAGTTTTTGACATTGATAAGTAAAGCTAATATAAATATTTGTATGTAGGTTTTTGTGTGAACATTTTTCTGGGGTAAATATTTTGGAGTTGGGAACAATGGGACATTAGGTAAATATGTACTTAATTTCCTAAGAAACTGTTTACTGTTCTCCAAAGTGGCTTTACAATTTTGCATTCCCACCAGTAATATATGAAGAGTTTCAATTGTTCTACATTCTTGCCAGCATTTGGTTAGAACAGATGTTTTGATTATTTTTTGAATCTATATATTCTAATAAATGTACAGTGATCTCATTGTAGTTTTAATTTGACAGACCACATTCACATAACTTTTATTATAGTATGCTGTTACAATTTTTCTCTTTTATTATTGTTGTTAATCTCTTGCTGTGCCTAATTTATAAATTAAACGTTATCATAGGTATGCATATGTAGGAAAAAACATAGTATACGTAGGTTTTGGTACTATCTGTGGTTTCAGGGATCTGCTGGGGGTTTGGAATGTATCTTCCACAGTCAAAGGGGGACTACATGGTACATACAGGACTATAGGTTATGTATTTCTTTGTGAGTTTTGGTAGTCTGCATCTAGTAAGGAATGTTACTATTTTATCTAAGCTTTTGAATTTGAGTACAGAGCTGCTAATTTACCACCTTTTTAATACCTATAGTATCTATAATGATGATATCCCCTCCCACCATTTCACTCCTGATTACCAATAATTTGTCTTAACTTTTCTTTTTTTAGTCATTCTAAGGTTTATCAATTTTATTGATTTTTTTCCCCAACAAACTGGGTTTTGGCTTCATTGATTCTCATTTTTTTTTATTATATGACTTTCTGCACTTTATTTCTCTCTGCCTACTGTTTTTCTATTTTTTTGGTTTTGAAGGATGGGAAACTTAGACTACTGATCAGCAACTATTCTTTTTCTAAAACAAGCATTTAAAGTCATAAATTTCCCTCTAAACACTGCTTCAACTACCTCTCCAAAATTTTGCTGGGCTATATCTTAAATTTTTTAAAAAAGATACTTTGCAATTTTCAATGGGACTTCTTAACTCATGGGTTAATAAGAAAGTTGGTTAATTTTCAAGTATTTATGGATTTTTCTAGGTAGACTGCTATTATTCTTTTCTAGTTTAATTGTTTTGAAGCAAAAATCTTCTGTGATTTAGTTATTTTAAAAGTTTTAAAGTTTGCTTTATGGCCCAAGAAATAGTCTCTTGGTGAATGTTTGATGTAAACTTGTGGTTAGCTGTACACACATATAAAATTGTTACATTTTCAGTAAATTCAATTTTTTTATCCTTACCCGAGGATATGTTCATTAGTTTTATAGAGAGAGGAAGGGAGAATGACACAGCAAGAAAGAAATATCAATATAAGAGAGAAACATTCATTGGTTGCCTCCTGAACATATTGTGACTGGGGATCGAACCCACAACTTAGTTATGTGCCCTGACCAGGGATCAAATCTGCAACCTTTTGATGTACAGGATAATGCTCCAACCATCTGAGTCACCTGGACAGGGCTAATAAATTAAATTTTCATCATTATGTGACATATTTCTTTATTCTTGGTAATTTTCTTTGTCCTGAAGTGTACTTCAGGTTAATAATGTAACAACTCCAGCTTTCTTTTGTTATGTTTTTATCCTTCCAACCTATCACTATCTGTACATTTACAGTGGATTGCCTACAGATAGCTCCTGTTTTTCCAGTAGTATCTTTTAACTGATGTTTACACTATTCATAATTAACCTAATTATTAATATACTTGGTTTTTATGCCTATTGTTATATTATTTGATTTCTGTTGGTTGTTTCTTTTCCCCCGCTTTCTTTTGGACTATTTAAATGTTTTTCAGACTTTTCACTTTAACTTATCTTTTGGGCTTCATCTTACATAGTGGTTGCTGTAGAAATGAGAATATTTGTAACTCACTTTCCACAGTATACTAGAGTGAATATTTTACCTGGCACATGAGCCATTCAGATGTAAATCTGGGGCAGTTTTAGTCTCATGTTTTTTCAGGGTTTGTTCCAAGCACACGCAGCTCCATGGTGAGCCCAGCACTTATGTCAGTTCATACGAAAGAATTACAGGATCCTCTTCTTCCATTTCTCTCCTTTCTACAATATTCCCTATCCTCTCCCAGGAGCCCCTTCATCTGGTTCCTCTGACCAAAGAGATGAGGTCCACTTAAAATTTTACATTTTATGTTGTGAACTTCCATGTAAGGAGCTTCCATTTGGCCACAAGAGCAAAAGAAAAGAGAAAAAAAATAATGGGGAGTCCCCTCAAACTCTTCAGACATCACAGGCTCCTTTCCCCGTCTCCTCTGGCTAAAGAGACGTAACAAAGTAGTGCACCGCTCAAAGGAAGAGAAGGGGGGCAGGGGGAGGAAAAGGAAAAGAAAGGCAAGACTACTCAACAATGTGTTCAATTCTAAGTGAACAAGGCAATTTAAAATTTTTACAGCTGAAAAAAATAAAAATTCTGGAGCTTTTTTTACCCATAACCCCAAAAGGTCCACAAAACCTCCACTATTACTTATTCCATACATTTTGAACTATAAACAAAAAGTACAAAAGCCAAAATGAGGCCACAGGTGAAAGAAGAAAATCATTAACTTATCCTTTTCCTTTCAGAATAAGTACCTCTAGTAATTTGATAGGAATAGCAGAATATAAGGAGATTCTAATTTAACACCTACTCTTCCAAACATTAATGCAAAATTAAACACCATTTATGTGCCATCTGATCATAATTATGATTACTAAGCCATATGTGGCTTTAACTCTCAAATTTAAAGACTAATGTGAAAAGAGACAAGACAAATAGCATCAAGATAACTTGCTGCACTAGTCAGAGTGATATGCTCACTGACCTCTATTCAACAAAAGATTCTGAACTTTGAGAGTAACACATGATATAAATAAAATGTTTCATCTATAAAACTCACAAATAAAATGAAAACAAGTTTAAAGTGTGTGGTGAGTAGAACAGTACCCCCTCCACCACCAAAATCCCCATGTCCAAATCCCTAGAACATATGAATATGAATACTAACATAGCAAAAAGGGTATGAGTAAGGTTAAGGGCATTGACATGGAAAAGATTATCATGGATAATTATCCAAGAGAGCTGCATAGTCACAAGTCCCTAAAAGTGAGGATGCTTTCACTGAGGCACAGGCTGAAGTAAAAGGAATCTATGACTATAAAAGAACAGTCGGAGTAATATAACACTGGTGGCTTTAAAGATGGAGGAAGGGGGTTATGAGCCAAGGAATACATGTGGGGCATCCTTTAGAAAGCATGGAAATGGAGCCCTGACCAGCAGTGGCTCAGTGGGTTCTGTACACCCATACCTAGGTTGTGAGTTCAGTCCTTGGTCGGGGAGTGTATGGCAGGCAATCAATCAATGTTTCTCTCTCCCATCGATATCTGTCTGTCTGTCTTGTCTCTCTCCCTTCCTCTCTCTCTAAAACTCAATGAACATGTCCTTGAATGAGAATTTTTTAAAAAAAATAAAATAAAAACAAGGAAATGGATTCTCCCCAGAAATTCCAGAAAGAAATGAAGTTCTGCCAACACCTTACCCATTGAGACCCATGTCAGAGACTTCTGATCTACAGAACTGTAAGATAATAAATTTGTGTTAAGTCACTATGTTTGTATTTGTTACAGCAGAAATAGAAACTACATATAACAGAAGTTTTCATTACCACTACAAAATGAAGTTAGTAAATCAACCTTCAACCACGGCTAGCATGATAGCTGGTTAAAAGCAAATAAAAGTTAAGATTAAGTAAAAAGTGACTTAGCCAAAATGAAAAAGTATCATGTCAGTAATGTGTTTCTATTTGAATTCATGGTTATTATCCACTTTTGAACATCTGTTTTTATATTTTCTAATTATATTAGAACAAATAGTCAAAAATAAGACACAGCAGAGCATATAGTAAATCTTATTTGCAAGTAACATTATTGAGCCTTAGAAGACTATGTCTTCACCAGTCAACAGTGAATCCCAGAAGCAGCCAAGAGCTTCAAATGGCATGGTTCTCTAATGTAATTCTTCCTCTCCATTCCTGTAACAAACTCATAAGAGAGGTTCCTCATCACCTCTTGGGTTACTAACACAGTCTTGCACTAAGAGCAGAAGAAACTGCACAAGACAACAGAAAAACTGTTTATTGTGGGGTTTTAAATGAAATTTTTAGAAAAGGAAAATCACTTAAAATGTTCTTAACTTTGAAGTATGAATGTATATGTTATGTATTTATGCACATATGTAAATACTGAGACTGGTTAGAATTGTAAAATCAGAGCCATCAATCACTCTGACAAGACAACTATATTAAAGCAAGTAACAGGATAAAACCACCTGAGAATGTGGAAATAAACAATCAGGTTGACCAGGGCTTTTCTATCCAGCAGCATATACCTAGTACGTGAAAGGATGGACCTGGGGGGAAACTGTGAGATGGATAATTTCAATGGTAGTCTCATCAACACCCCAGACTTAACTGACTGTTGCTCTGGATAGGAATTCTTTAGTAAACTGTTACATTTGTAATCAAAACCAAGACTTATGAGTGTTCAGACATTCCATTCACTTTGCAAACCAAGGCACTACAATAAAGTTCTTACAGAAGCTCTTCACTTGAAGTTAATGCCAAATTATTTAAAAATTACTTGCTATATGCTTAGCAGTTACAGACTACAAAACAGATTGAAAAGGTAACCTGGTACGCATTTCAGAGTAATTACCTGAAAATGTCTGTAGGTACCTATAATACCTAAGGACACATTTTGGGATCCAAAATTCAGTTTTATAGTATTCTATATAGTATTCTAATAAATATAGTAACTAATCTACCTAACAAAGTAACTTTGAAAGATACAGGAAAACATAACAGAACATTGTAGTGAACAATAGAGGGCCTTTAATGTCAAGCTAAGGAGTTAGGACTTTTTTATTAATACACAATAGGAAACCAGTAACAGGGCAAATATTGGGCAACACTATGAAGAATAACAAAAGAGTCAAGGGTCAGAGATACCACTTGAGAGACCATCTCTCCAAGTCTGTCCTAAAGACTGATGCTCTAAAATCCATCCTTTTAAATTGTAACTTTCATCTAATCTAATAAGTGCAAGTCAAACTACTCCATTAAATAGCATTTCTGAGACTGGCAAATCACTCCCTGCATGGTCCCATTCTAATTTCTTCAGGAATGCTCTTTGTCTTTCAAATCTGATATCTGGGTGCTGATAGTACTCAAATTTGTTCACTAATTTCATTTTTTGTATCCCCAATTAAGAATAAAATTTTCTGAAATCTAAGTATTGTGTTTCTCTAAATGTACTGTTCCCGGCTGAACATATAATGCAGAATGAAGAGATAGTTACTCAGATCAGTTTAAATCTCAGCTCTAGGACCTTGGGCAAGCTGTTTAAGCTCTCTGAGTCTCCATTTCTTCATCTACATGATGGAATGAAAACATCTGTATGATTTGTAGGAGGAAAGAGACAATGTCAAAGGTTTATTATAGCATTAGTTGCATACTAAATATGCAATAAATGCTAGCTATTACTGTAATTGTAACATAGCACCAACATTACAGTAATATAAAAATCTGTGGAATGTAGGGATAGGAAATTAAGGAAGGTCCCAATATAGTCTTCTCAATGAAGTAGTCACTATTTTAAATCATCTCATCTGTCAAGAACATAATTATATATTGATTGTGGCCTCTAAACTAAAAGGAACCAAGGCTTCTTGGGTGAACAGTTGATTCCAGGTCTAGAGGAGAAAACATGCAAGATGAACCTGAGATATCTCATTCTGTTAAAAAGCAAGAAAAAGATGAAAGAATATTGTAGACATGTGAAAAAGTCACAGGGGAAAAAAGTCATAGGGACAAGCCTGAATGGCCCCCTGCTGGCCAAAGATGGTATAATCTTAGTATAAAAAATGACTATGAGATGAAAACACATCAATTTTATATATATCCACAATAACCTTTTAGATGTTGCTGGGACATCAATTTATTATTTTGAAAATTAATAAAGGGAAAGAATTAAGTGTCTATCCTGACTTTCCTGCATGAAACTATATTTCAGGGAAAAATTTTTCTTTAGAGAAAAATTCTAGCTAATAAATGCAGATGGAATGATAGAATATCACAATTCTGCAATTCCTAATGAAATACTGAATATAGGCAATCATCACCAAATGAACGTTAAAATTAGATGAAAAGTCAACAAAGAACTTTCATAATGAACAAGGCTGCCAATGGCTAAACCCACTGATCACTGTTGTCATCACCAGAAGTGAGACAACCAGATCATATGCCTCGTTGACATGAGGTAACTGGAAGTGCAAAGCACCACTAAAAAGTAGCCAAGCTGCTAGATCTAAGAAATTACAAGGAATAAAGAAGTATATTAGCCAACACCAGGCAAATGCAATCAGATAAATCTAGAATAGGAGAAATTCTACAGAATAATCCAGCATCTTCAACAGAAAAAAAAAACAAAACAGGGCACACCAAAAATAGGGGTGGTAGTGGTATCAGTAAGAGAAAGACCTATCAACCAAATGCAATCAATGTATGGCCGTAATCTGGATCCTGATTTGAAAAAATCAATTATAAGAGACATTTGGAGACAAGTGGAAAAAATTTAAGATGGACAGAAAATCCAATGATATGAAGGAATTATTAGATGTAATATGTACTCTTATTCATGACAAAAAGTAAAATATCCGTATCTGTTAAGAGATACACACTAAAGTAAGATATTAGTAAAATAATAGTTACCTGAAATTTACTTTAAAATACTACAGGAAAAAAAAGTGGGTGAAGGAGAACAAAACAAAAATGGCATATACTGATAATTATTTAAACTGAGTGGTAGGTAAATGGAGACTCATTTTACTGTAAGTCTCTATTTTTTGTTTCTTTTGGGGGACAAAAAATTTTTTATACATATACTATCATTTACAAAAAAAATGTTAACAGAGTACAGAAGTCATCTCCCTAAATAAGAAACTGTATCACTTACCACTAATACACCTTTTCACAGCGTTTTCATAAGAATTGCTCTGATACAATTCAATTCTCCTTTTGACCACTGTGAAGATATAACTTCATGCTGGAAGCATCTAGACTCTTCAGTTAATTAAAGATACTACTTACCCTGAGCTTGTAGAAGTTTAAGAGTAGCTTCAGCTCTGGCTCTGGCTTCTCTCTGAGATTTAGTTAAAAGCTTCCCTTCTTTTTTTAAGCGTTCTTTTCTTTCTTTTTCTTTTTGCTTTTTCCTTTCTCTTTTTTCTTGTTCCAATCTTTCCTATAAGAGAACATATATATATATATATATATATCAGACAAAAACTATACTACCTTAATGAATTACATTTAAATTACATTTAAATTAAATTTCAATGTAAATAACCCACACTTCAAACAAAACTTTTGAGACACATGCAAAGTATTATGTTAGGGAATTCCAAATGAAAATATTTTAAATATACATATGATAATATCACATGAGAACAGACTATGTGTTGCAATGATACATAAGCAACTTCTGTCTGTATCTCAGGAAATAACGGCAGGATTTTCTATACCTCTTCATCTTATTATTCATATAAGGACAACGATGTAACAGTTACGATATAATTTTATGAGATTTTTAGATTTAGAAGGTTAGAGATATTTCATAGAGATTTTTTAAGTTAAACACAATGTTGTTATCAGCAACTTCATGAAAATATACCTCTTCTTTCCGCTTGGCTTCCAATTCTTCAAGCCGTTTTATGCGTTCTTCCTCTTCTCGTTTCTGTCTCTCTTCTTCTTCTTTAAGCTTAGCCAGAGCTTCCTGCATAGCTTTAACTGTGGCTTTGCTAGGTCCTTTTTTCTTCTCTTTTTCTTTGTCTTCCTTTTCTACTTTCTTTTTCTTCTTATCTTTTTTCTTTTTGTCTCCTTCATTGTCATCTATCAAAAAAGAATAGAGGCACAGTGTTTTTAAAAAACCTTGTTTCCTAAGGCAATGATGAGCAAACCCCACAATTCTAGGACCATAATGGGCCAAAGAAGATGCCAGCAGCAAGCTACAGCCTCTAGGCATCACTGCATCCCCAAAAGCACAGGAGTGCCTCAGTACCTGTAACAGTTTAGATTAACCAAGTTAGCCTCCTTTGAGGCCAACAACATTGGTGTTGCTCTGAGTTGTCCTGAGGGATGCAAGAAGACAGGAGTAGCTTGTCAGTAGGAAGAAAATACACTGTATCTAATGTAGCTCTTAATCCACAATGTCTGAATTCCTTCCTCAATTCTGTAGCTAGTTTTGCTTCTATAAAGTGGGAATGATATAAATGAAGCCAATCTTAAAATATTAGAAAAATAAAATATAAAAATACAGGTAATTATATGCTAAGAACTCTACAGCATTATGCTTAAAAAAAACAAAACAAAACAACAACTAAAGATTATAAAGCTACTTTCACAGTACTTTCCTCAAATATGTCCAGATAATAATTTGAGTGGTTAAAAAAAACTATGTCAATTTTCCCATTAAGAGTTTTACTCAAGAAAACTCTGTGAATCATTTGATCTTTATTCTCATTCCAACTAAGGGGAAAATTTAGTTAGACAATTTATTTTTTGTTAATTGGCTCTGGTACAAAAAGTGGCTCACAATTGTTTAAAAGATGTTAACTGATTTTAGCATCTTTTCACTTTCCTATTTCACAGGCTGAACTGGGTTTTTAAAAATAAGGAAGAATTCTGATATTATCTGATGGAGTTATCAAAATGAAGAATAAATTTTTCATTAGGCAACTTCCACTCTTTATCAACAAAAAAATTGTTGTTCACAGTGAAATTCTATAAAAATTCTAGTCTGTGCACAAACTACTTAAAAAGCATTTTATATTATACATAAATGTTTAATAATAAACATTAATTCAAAGAGTATGTAAGTTTGTAAAAGAGTATATATAGTTTTTTAAAAAGATTTTCATGCAATTAAGCATCTTTATAATCAAGGACAAGTAAGAAAACTTTGGGGTATAATAATGAAACCTTAGACTAAATAGGAACCCAAGCCTTTTGCCCTTTCCCAATAACTTTACCAACCTTCAATGGCTGCAGACACCTCTCCTTTCTCATCAGTGGCAGGGGCTGCTCCAGTGTCAAGAGTCACTTTGGATTTTACAGTTTCCTCTTCAGATTTCCTCTGAGGTTCTTTTTGTTTACTCTGATCCTTTTTACCAGTTTCTAACTCTTCTTTTTCTTTCAGCTTCCGCAATTTTGCCTTTTCTTCCTCTCGCTTTTTTCTCTCTCGCTCTTTCTTTTCTGCCTTCTTTTGGGCCACTGTCTTAATTTTGAAGGAGTCTTCATCTTCATTCCCACTCTCTACATTAGGACCTACCTTATTTTTTTTATTTTTTTTCTGTCCTTTTCTAGACTGCAAAACTTCATCTGATTCATCTCCACTTTCCCCTGAAGAATTCACTCTGGAACGCTCTTTAATTTTCTTACTGTTATCCTCCTCCTCTTCTGACCCATCCCACTTTTTATTTGATTTTTGAGCTTTCCCTTTAGCTTTTTTAGAAAGTTTGTTAAAATCATCATCATCATCACCATCACTCCCAGAGTACATTTCCACTTTTGGTTTTGCAGTCTTTTTTGATTTTGAATCCTTATTTTCTAATTCTTCACTGTCATCATCAAAACTTTGTTTTTTGGCTTTCTGTCCTTTCTTTTTTTTATCTTGTTTTGAGGTGGATTCTTCTTCATTATTTTCTGTTGGCTAAAAAATTTCCAGTGTTAGAAGTATTAACAGGATTACATTTTGCTTTAAAATAAATAATTGAGACTCCTCAGGGTAACATGCTTCATTAAATACACATGGAAAAAATTCTCAAAATAATTTCAAAATAAGGTCCTTTTTATGGGGATATAAAACTCAACCAAGTGTCAGAAGCTATCCTAGGCCTCAGGCACCTCTCACATTCACTGTCAATGTCAGGATCTAGGTGCTCTAGCCAGCACTAATCATAGACCACATTTATTAGCTTCTTCAAATAGCACACAAAGCCTAAGAGGGAAATTGAAAGAAGAAAAAAACGCCTATCACTTTCCCATTACTCTAAGGCCTCTTCAAATTCAAAGGATAATATTTCCTTCCTAAAAATTGCTTTCCTCCACTGGCATAAGAATTTATATAATGTTTTAACATATACACATGTATACACATACAACACACACACGTCAAAAATTTCCAAAAGCAGCACCCTAAAACTGGCCCTGAGAAGCACAGCTGGGTAACAAACATCTTTCACCTTTACAGCAGCAGTTTCGCTGTCAGTTTTGATGCCTTGAGCCTCCCAAGACAATTCTTCCAGTTCTTTCAGGATATCATCTTCACTAGAAAAAGATTAAAATATATTTGAGGCATTGAATTAGATTAGTAAGTGTATCTAGTACCAAAGCTAATAAGAAGCAAACATATCTGAAACATACTTACTCAAAGTCTTGCCGTTTTTTCTCTTTTTTCTTTTTCCCCTTGGACTTTTGAGGCTCCTGTTCCTTGGCAGCACCAGCTCCTTCTATTTCTGCAGCCAAGGCATCAAGATCAATGTCATCCTTGGCACTTAAATGAAAACAAAAAAGATCTAAATGTTACTCGAGAGTATAGTAATCTAGCACATTCATGTATAGAGAAACATTTTTAAAAAGTAATTTTAGCCTTTATCACACATTAGCATCCTACTGAGAAAAACCATTTGGCAAGCTCTTTCACAACTACTCTAGTTATATCTACTTATCAGCCTTGCTGCATCTATTTCAATAAAGTCTGAGTTACATGCACATCAGAAAAAGATACAATGAAGCACTCTGGGTAATCAAGAAATGGAAATTAACTTTTGTTCCTACCTAAGTTTTGTTATGTGTCTGGAGTTACTTATAAAAGAGAGATTTTTAAAGGATGAAACAAGTCTTATTACTTCATTATCAATAACAACATCTAAATTTTTGGATACCTATTCATTTGTACTTGGAATAATGAAAATTTTAGATCTGGAAGCTTTAAAGATCAACTGGTCTATTATTTCATTTTACCAATAGGAATACTAAGATGCACAAAGTTTGAATGCCTTGAGCAAAAAAACCAAACATCCAAATCTAAATGAATTAGGAATGCTTCACTAAGTAAAGCACATACAACATCCAAAAATCTAGAAGTAAACAAACTCACCTTTTACTTTACTGTTTTGTTTCTGGTTCTATTCTACAATGTCCTCATCTACCAATATAATTTAAAGCAAACCCAATTAAGTTCCAATTCAAACCTACAGAAAACCAAGGTCAATCTGAGATACGTAGTAGAAAAGATAGATGAATCCCAATAAATGATAGAGTAAAAAAATTAAGACCATGCAATATGGCCCCCACTGATAGACACCGTGTTATATAGAAGCCTCAGTTCAGTAAAGAGAAGTTCTAAAGAGAGTAACTTGTAACTCTATGATGAATATAATTTTAAAATTATATTAGAAAACATTGAAGATACAGGATCTATCCTCAAAGAGCTTAGTAGAAAAGACAGACAGCAAATCAGTACACCAGGCACTGCAAAATGCTAAGTACCATAAAGTAAAAAAAGTTTAATGCTTTTATAAATTGTTGGCCCAGGTTGAAATATCCTTTTTATTTTATACTGTAGATAGTGTATTTGAATAGGATCATAGAACATTTAAGTGCTCCACTGGTGATGACTTCCTGAAACACCAAATCCAAAATGAGAATGTCAGATGCTTCCTAGTCGAGAAGGGAACCAAGTACTGGAGGAGGAACAGGATTAACCAGGCAACGAGGGTGTGCACGTCAAACACTAAGAGTGTCTCAGGGTCAACTGAGAAGCTTTTTGCACATTACGGATTACTGACCCACCACCCAAGATCTGGATGACCAGAAACTGGGGTGTGAGGTAGGCAGTATATTTTTAGCAATCTTTCTGGGTGACTGTGGGTCAGATTTGAGCAGTTATTCCATTTTTAATAAAAGAAGAAACTGAGGCACAAAGAATATGTGCAGGATCACACAAGGCAGAGATGAGATATGAACCGAGAAAGTTTGATTCCATAGTTACAGCTCTTAACCCTGCTAACATAATCAAATCTCCATCTTAGAAAGCTACCTCTAGGATGACTGGCAAAGCAGAACCCCAACTGGATAGGAAGGAGGAAGACCAGTTAGAGAGCTCTTTCACGGTTAACTGTGATGAGAAACAATGATCACCTACCCTGCGGTAGAGGCAGGCAACAGGTGAGTCAGATAAAGATCAATCAGCAACACTTAAGTACTGACTATAAGACTCTCCTCACTCCAAATTTGCGGGCGCAGAGGGTGGGGGGGCAGGGGGTGCGTCTTATAGTCAGAAAAATATGATAACCAACTGGCTATATATAGAAAGGGAAGAATCAAGGATGATCCTCTGCTCTCACCAGGTAACAGAAACCTAAGTATGGCCCAGCATCAACCAGCAGCACCTCCAAAATCATCTCTGCCCATATTTCACATTACAGCAGTTTTTGAGAAGAGGGTAAGTTGGAAAGGTGGCTAATGATCAAAGTTTGGCACCTCACCTCCAAATATTTGCCAGCCCTCACCCAAACTATATTCATGTCATGAGGACAGCTTAGCTATAATTCCAGAATTCATTAACAAACATCTCTAGAAAAACACAATATATAGGACTACATTTATATTTTGTTGACTATGAAAGGCTGCTTCTTCTGGCTTTTAGTAAAAGATTAATAGTTTGTGGATGCCTATCATATATCAAGTATTGTGCTCACCAACCACTAGAAATACTATATATTATGTCATTTATTCTTAACAATTCATGAAGTTATGCTTTAAAGATGATAATTTACAAAAGGCCACCCAGCTAGAGAGTAGCATACTAAGATCTCAAGCCCAGACCTAAATCAGAAGTATACTACCTTTCTAGAAAATAGAAAATAATCAAGTTTCTGAATCTATTTGTTTGAAAAATTTAAACATAGCTACAAAATATATTAATGATATACAACATTAACAACTTAAAAAAAATCCTTACCTAAGGAGAGGCAGAGGGAGAAACATGGATCAGCTGCCTCTCGTAGTGCCCTGACAGGGACTCAAACCCACAACCCAGGTTTGTGCCCTACCAGTAACTGAACTCACAACTTTTTTGCTGTATGAGATGATGCTCCAATCAACCGAGCCACCTGGCCAGGGCAACATTCTTAACTACAATGCTTTCTAAAGTGTGCCTTCAATGCATTCTGAACTTCCTGCCCCAGACTCAGGAGGATGTCCTAAAAAGTTAACCATACTACAACAGGACAGGAAAATGACAAACATGTAACATCAGTGACTTAATCTGAAACTTTAAACCACATTCTATCTGCATTTTCAGCCCTATTTCTATACCCACTACAAGCTACAGCCAAACTGATGCCAAATCTAAAATCCAGTCATATTGATAATGAAAGTTTTAAAATCATTAAGGAATCTGTAAAGGTATTTTCTGTAGAAATGTCTTCTGAAGACCACTTGCATTTTCTTAAAGGTATAATATTCCTATTAATATTTTCCATTATAGCCCCTAATTCTTTATTCTAAACTTACTACAGACTTAGAGAAGTAAAAGGCAAATGTCTACTGTACTCAATCCAGTGTTTTCATAGGTCATGTTACTCCAAAATAGAAAAACGTTGTAACTTAATGGCCTTAAAAAATGAAGCTATTAGCCCTGGCTGGTGTGGTGTTGGCATCCACCCTGCCTGGTCTCAGGAAGCTGTAACCCCCTGTGGCTAAGGCTGAGTGAGAGACATCCAGACCAGGAGACACTAAAGAGATAAACTTATCTCCCTGGAAGGAGCGCTGCTTCTGCTCCTTGTCCGGCCCCCAATGCTTGATCGGTTAGCCAATGACAGGTAAGATTCCCCAAGGAGGGAATCACCTCAGACAGGCATGATCACGTGGAGGCCCCAGGGAAGGGCTTGGGGGGCTGTGGAAAAAGGGGGTGATCGACCCTTGCCCCTTGGCTTTAACAAAGCCCGAGTTCTCATTCTGCCTGTGAGACATCCAAATCTCCCGTCTGCCTTTGTCTCCTCTGCCCAACTCAAGCCTGTGACAATAACAAGGGGTGGTGCAATCCACATTGGGGACAGCAGACTTCCCGGGATGGTCAGACCTGAAAAAGGAGTATGTAAATTCTTGTGAAACCTGCTTGCTGAGGATGCTCTTAATTAGATTATGAAGGCCCGGGCAGGAAATGAATTTAGCTCCTCAAGTTCTGTAGTTTTTTAGGTGATAAGACCCCAACTCAGTGGAAGCCCTTTTTAGTTCTTTGAGCATTATCTGTTGTTTGATCCTTACTGCCTGACAGTGACTGATGAACTTTACCTGTATTCCTGTGCAAATTGAAACCCAATAAAAACCCTGTGAAGGAAAGGATTGGGGTGCCCTCCTTTGAGAGCGTGGCCAGGCCGCTCAGAGGGACCCTCCCATTGAAAGGGTAGCTGGGCCGTCCCTTTTCCTCCACACAGGACTCGGTAGGCCATGTGAATGCCTCATGTCTCATCCATGATGCCGAGGACTCTGCGGGCTGGTGTCTGCATCAGTGTGGCTCAGCGGATTGAACACCAGCCTGCGGACTAAAAGGTGACCGGTTCGATTCCCAGGCAGACCACATGCTTGGGTTGCAGGCCAGGCCCCCAGTTGGGGGGATGAGAGGCTGTCTCGCCTCCTTTCTCCCTCCTTTCCCCTCTCTTAAAAAAAATAAAATCTTAAAAAATATGAAGCTATTAAAAATATTGTTATACATGTAGCTTTTAAGAAACTGCCAAATTATTTTCAGAAGTAGCTATATCCTTTAATGTTCACACTAGCAATATATGGTGATATCCCTTTTTCTCCATATCCCAGCCAGTATCTGTTATTTGTTATTACAGATACCTTTCCTCTAAGCTATTCTCATAGGGACATTGTGATAGCATATCACAGTTTTCATCTGCACTTCCTTAAAGTCTAATGAAGTTAAGTTTTTTCACGTGCTTACTTGTCACTCATATATACTATTCAGTGAAATGTCTCTTCATATCTTTTGCCCATTTTCTAATTGAATTGCTTTTCTTTTAAAGTTGAGTTTTAAGAACTTTATATGTTCTATATATGAGTGGGTATACACACACACACACACACACACACACACAAATCTTTATATGAGTTCTAAATATGTGGCCTATCTGTATTTTCTTTCAGTCTGTAGATTGTTTTTTCATCCACTAACAGGGTTATCAGAGCAAAAACTTTGAATTTTCAAGAGTACCATTTATCAAGGTTTTTCTTTTACAAGCCATGTTTTTTTGTTGTTGTTCCAACCTCTCCCCTGCCTCACCCACTCCTCTCCCTCAGTCAGTCCCCAAACTGATGCCCATTAATATGGGTCCTTTATTGTTCCTTGACTAGACCCTTCCCCTTCTTTCTCCCATTCTCCCTATCCCACCTCCTCTCTGGTCACTGTCAGTTTGTTCTTGGTTTCTGTGTCTCTAGTTCTATGTTGCTCACTTGTTTGTTTTGTTGATTAGGTTCCACTTA